CATCATGCTACGTCGTATTAAAATTGTATGAATACAATCAGATTGTATGTCATACGTACAATCGTATTGATCATATTGTAACTATCTACTTTCTTTGTATTATACTGATACAACTAAAAAGAAACGGAGGAAGTACAATTATATATTCCTTACTACTCCTTTTACGGAGTAACAGTATAGATTAGCTTGATAGATGACCCTCGCCTTTATTGTCTATTGTCTACTAGTCACACATGTGTTTCTGGTTAACTTAATAATTTTGGACAGTCAAAAACATTTAATTGATTAAATTAAAGGTGGAGATTAGATAGTACGGCATAAAGTGAAATGGAAAAGGACATGATGTTGGAAAGTTGAACAATTTACTAAATGGAGTATTTTCTTTCAGAATCAAAATATCAAAATTGAAGAAATGTATGGATCTGATGCACACTTTTAAACCTATGTTTCATACGTAGTACTGCCCTAATGCTATTTCAGATAAATATGTATCCACGTGAGACGTAATCCACGTTATTCACAGCACACCCTCTTCCAAGGAATTTAGTACAAGTTTTTTGAATTCAGTTCAAGGTTGGACAGTGTAGCTTTTTTTTTTTTTTTTTTTTTTTTTTTTTAATACTACGAGTACATACAACACCGTCTTATGATAGTGTACATGTTTTATACGAAGTAATTTGTTACATAGCTTTAGGGGATTCAGTGTAATGTGGTTTCACATATATAGTTTAACTAGCCTTCTGTCCCGTGCAATGCACGGGTTATTTATATGTATACAATATTAATTTTTATTTTATACATATTTTTATTGGAAAATAAATAGTTTATAAAAGAGACAAATTAAAGGGGTGAAAATTAAATGTAATTGTAGAAGATATTAAGTTGAGGGAAAGTGAACCAAACAACATTCATACATGTATTGAATTAAAGCTAGTTTTTTTAAAAAAAAAAAAATACGAGAAAGGGGATTAATTAAATAAAATGTTAATGAGGTGACATATGGCATTGCATTGGTGAAAAATAAAGTGTACATGTGGCATGATGGGCATGATGGTTTGTGTTTTTAAATATTAGGTATAGAGGTATAGATAAGTTCTATAGATGTCTTCTCATAAAAACTTCATTCATTTGAACTTTAAATGTATTTCGTGTTTACTTTATTACTTACATGATGAGCTATAACATGATTGGAGAAATATGTATATAGCTTGAAATTGAACTACCTTATTCGGCACTAAAAATGGCATTTCCAGAATTCCAGCCCTAAGGAGGATAAAAACAATTTTTGTAATGGACATATAATTTGTAACAATTTTTGTAAGTTCACAATAATGGAGATTTAAGGGAGAAGATGTAACCACCTCCATCATTCACTCTAAACATTTATTCATTCACTAAAATCTTAGAGAGTTTTAAGCAGCGTGGATTTGTGAAAATGATTTGAACAAAAGTGCAAAGTCCAAGTATTAATGGAACTAAATTATGATTCTTTTTTTTTTTTTTAAATGAGAAAGTTTAAATCAACTCATATCATTATTGAAATCACACAATAGTAAACACCCTTATCATATGGGTCACTAGCAAGTAGCTTAGCAACGCCAGAAAACCGACATACTCCGATATATATGTTATCATAGGGGATAAAGGCATTTACAAATACATCAAACAAAGTATGCATGAACAAAAGGTTGAGTATGTTAATGAAAACTAAACATACATTAATTATTATGTGACTCTTAATATGATGATACATGTTTGAACATATATACTTAACAACCATAGGAAAACAAGTAGAACTTTCAAATTGCTTTAAAACGACTTTATCTTAAACTTTTGCTTTGGATAAAGCAATAAATGTGCGACTGTCTTTTTTACACTATGTTTGGATAACAATAGTGAAAGGAAAGAGAAGGGAGGGAGGGGGAAAGGGAGGTGAGGGGAGGAATCGGAGAAGGTTAACTTCTAATTCCTTCCAATCTTTTCAAAATGGAGTGATTTGATTTATTAAAAGAGAAAGGAAAATGGATCCTTCCAATTCCTTCACATTTTCTCCTTGTATTAGGTATCTAAATAAAGGATGGTGCATTCTTTCTTTTCTCTTCTCTTCTTTTCCTCTATTTCTCTAGACATAGTGTTAAGAAATTTTATTAGTTATTGATTATGGCTAGATTTGGAATTTGTTCCTATATTTATTTGCCGCTCTAACAATTAATTAGGAATTTATCTTTTGATTTTGATTACATGTTTATAATTTCTATGTCACTCTGTGACAAAGCTCCTACTCGTACTTCACATCAACAATAACATCATCACGTATTATCCTTTTTTTTCTTTTTTACTTATAACGATTAGACTTTCACACTTAATAATGTATAAAGCATGTTACTAATTAATAATAATGTATTCCGTTCTTAAAAAGTAAAATTATACTCCATAAAAAGTTTGATAACCTAGCAAAAAAGACTAATATATCATCAAAAACCAGTTAATTGTATTGCAATTGGGTGCATACCTCTAAGGCTTTCCTCAAACACGCCAATAATATGGCAATAACTTTCACAATATATCAACTCTCAGGCTATCCTCAAACAAGCCAATAATATGTTAATGCAAAACTAGACATTTGTCTCAAAAAAAAACAAACATACATGCATTATCATTATGTGACTATTAATATTGTTTTCAAAAAAAAAAAAAAAAAAAAAGAAAAAAAAAAGAAAAATGTGACTATTAATATGATGATACATGTTCGAACATACATATACTTGGCAACCCATAGAAAACAAGCAGAACTTTCAAATTGCTTTAAAACAACTTTACCTTAAACTTTTGCTTTGGATAAGCAATGAATGTGCAACGTCTTCTTTAAGGAATGTTATGGGTCACTCACTGATTATGGCTAGATTTGGAACTTGTTCCTAAATTTATTTTCCATTCTAACAATTAATTAGGAACGGAGCTTTTGATCTTGATTACATGTCTATAACATACTACCTTCGTCCCGTAATTTCACGTCTATTTCTCAAAAAACACGATAATTAAGGAGAATGGTGAAAGTAGATGAATATTCTATTGTAAAGATAAAAAACAGAGAATATTGTATGAGAATAATAAAATAAAATAAAAAGGGAAAATGTTGGAAGACTTTTCAGTAGCTACATTAAAAATGTAGCCATTGTAACTACTTTCAATCTCAACCGTTTAAATATTAATGATTAATCTTGTCCATTCATATATTTGACTTCCCAATCATAATTAATTATAAAAACTACTTTATTTTTTACAACAAAAAAAAAAAAAAAAAAAAAAACTGCAAAAAGTAACTTCTTTGTCGCTGCCATTGATGCAGTTTCAACTCTTCCAAGTATTCACCTTCAACATAAATCTCCATTAGATAGGTATGGAGGATGGATCAAAGTATAACAAAAAAACAATCAATGGAAAACTACCAACTAACCTAGGAAAAAGGAATATGATTTTATACATTGGATAGTTTTATTCGAGTTACATGGCTAATTTTTTTTTTTTTTGACAAAAAAAAAAAATACATGGCCAATTTGATACTCCGTAGCACAATTATACAGTTCTTAATGATTGAATTATTGCTCTCCATAATTCTTGTACTAATTGATGGATAAATGGATTTCATATTAAGCAGTTAAGTGCAATTTTTTTTTTTTTTGAAACCAAGCTAAGTGCATTGTTTTGTTCTTCGTACTGTATAGAATTTATCAATGGAGTAGTCTAATTTTTTTTGAGTGAATGGAGTAGATTATTGTGTGGAGGATTAAGGAAAAAACAGTTAAAGTTTTTTTTTTTTTTTGGTATTTTTTATGGTCAACTTAAATCAACGGTTCTAATTTACATAATGATGATCAAGGGTGTAGATTTTGTTATTGTAGTGGCTACAATTATATTGTAGCCATTGCAAAACTGTCCAAAAATGTTATACATAATCCTTAGGGCTACATATAATTATTAAATTTACACTTGAAAATCGTAAAAAGTTAAGAAATCATCAAAATATATACACTACTAACACTGATTTACACGTGTTTTTGTCATGAATTCCTAATTTATACAATTTCCAAGAGTATATAACATAACCCTAAAAAAAATTCCACCCGTCCCCAAAAGAACGACCCTTTTGGGTTGATTTCGCAAATATTAAGAAACTTAAATAAAAAGAACTAAAAATATATTGGAAAGATAAATTTACATGGGGGTTTGTAAAAAAAATAAGAGAGAAATAATTAAAAATACATGAAAAAACAAAAGTTTATATGGGGAAGCTAATTTTACACAAAAATTATTGTAAATTGGTGGGTATTTTAATGCAAATGGGTCGATCATTTGGGACTAAAATTAGGTCCAAAGGGTCGAACTTTTGGGGATGGGGGGTAGTGAATATTGTATGGAAAAAAAGGAAGTAATGATTTTTTGGGTATATGTGTATTTTGTATGGGAAAGTTAAAAAGTAAGTAATGATTATGGGAGTGAGGGGTAGCTCAAGTGGTTAGAGCTTCCCTCTCGGTTCCAAGAGATCTTGAAATCGATTCTTACCCTGTCATTGTGGCTCTCTAAACACCAAAAAAAAAAAAGATTATGTAATATATTTAGAAACAAGCACAATATTTTGGGACTCCAAAAAAAAATACAGGCAAAAAATAATGAGACGGAAGGAGTAACTTTTATGGGGACAGAGCTCCTACTTTTGATCAATCAAAGATAACATCATCATGTTATCATTCCTTTTTTACTTATAACGATTAAAATTTCATGCTTGACAACGTTTAAAACCTGTAATTATAATATATTTAATTCTTAAAAAGTAAAATTATATTCCATAAAAAGTTAGGTTACCAAGCAAAAAAGATTGATCTGTCATTAAAAACTAACCTCCCAATTTCATGCAATTGTGCAAACCTGTAAGGCTATAATATATTTCAAATCTAACATAACTTTACATGGCGTTTTTTTTTTTTTTTTTTTTTTAAGTATTAAGATAGCCATAAGGGCGATGTGAGAATCATTTCTGAATCTCTCTGAAATCGAAAAGGAAGCTTTAATCACTTGAGTTATCCCTCGCTCTCATAATAATATAATTATATGATTACAGTAAATAGATTAAAACTCAAAACGTTGCGAGTAAAAAAAAATCGAACAATAAACATGAAAGAAAACAGAGGTCACGACAAGCAGTTGGAGCATCCATAAGGACAGAACTCTTGTGTATATAAAAGAGGGGAAGGCAGAAATCATAAACAACTCCGCCAAATAAAAAGTTTTGGCAAATGTAAATTATAAAATACTCCAGTAATACTACAGTGAGTTACAACCGCATTTGACGGCGTCATCGCTCTCTTGCTCATCCTCCTACTACTCTTTGACCTCGCTTTCCATTCTAGACTAGTCTTCTCTCCCATTTTCTCTCTCCTCAGTCTTCCCCAAACTTCAATTTTTCTGGGTTTTAAATAAATGTGAAATCAACGAACTTTAATAAGGTAAACCCACTACTACTATTACAATTTCCAATTTCTTCCAAAAAATTATGAATTTTTTCTTCCAACCATTTGTATTTAGGACTGATTAAAAGGGTCCCCCACGTCTTTACAATCCTACCCAGATCGCCAGCTAACTTGTAAGTTGTAACCCACTTCACAATTTTTGATTTTTTTAATTTCTGGGTTCATTTGGGCAAAACGTCGAACACCTTGTATTCAATACAACTTCAATTTTGTTGAAATTTTTTTAACCCCAGTTGAAAAAAAGGGGGAATTTGAGGTGTAAAAATGGCGGATTTGGTTAAGCAGATCTTAACAAGGCCAATACAATTAGCAGACCAGATAATAAAGGCAGCAGATGAGGCTGCTTCGTTTAAGCAGGAGTGTTTGGAGTTGAAATCAAAGACTTCCAAACTATCCGACCTGCTTCGTCAGGCCGCTCGGTCGAGTTCCGACCTTTATGAGCGGCCTACTCGTCGGATCATCGACGATACGAATCAGGTGCTTGAGAAGGCCTTGACCGTTGCACAAAAGTGCCGGGCAAACGGCCTTCTCAAGCGCGCCTTCACCATCATCCCCGCAGCCGCCTTCCGAAAGATGTTCGGCCAATTGGAGAACTCTATCGGAGACGTCTCGTGGCTCCTCCGTGTTTCCGGAGGAGCCGGGGATGATGATGGAGGCGTCGGGGGATACCTCGGTCTTCCCCCGATCGCTGCCAACGAGCCTATCCTCTGCCTCATTTGGGAGCAGATCTCTATTCTATCGATAGGCTCGGTGGATGATCGGGCTGACGCTGCCGCCTCTCTGGTATCGTTAGCCCGAGACAATGATCGTTACGGTAAGCTCATCATTGAGGAGGGTGGTGTTGTCCCTCTATTGAAACTGTTAAAGGAGGGAAAGACATTGGAAGGTCAAGAGAACGCGGCTCGAGCCCTCGGGCTATTAGGCCGTGACCCTGAGAGTGTTGAGGCAATGGTTCTATCTGGGGTGTGCTTAGTTTTTGCCAAAATTCTTAAGGAAGGGCCTATGAAGGTGCAGGCTATGGTTGCGTGGGCGGTTTCGGAGTTGGCTCGGCATTATTCAAAGTGCCAGGACATTTTCTTTCAGCACAATGCTGTCCGGTTGTTGGTTGGGCATCTTGCATTTGAGACAATTCAAGAGCATAGCAAGTATGTAGTTTTGACCACCAAGTCTATCACTGGTGCTGCTTCTATTCACAATGCCGCGGTTGCTATGGCTGCGGCTGCCAATGCTAATCAGAGCAGTGCCATCAAAGTGAAGGTGCCGGAAGATGAGGAAAAGACTCAGATCGCGCATCCGATGGCTAGGAGTGCTAGTCCTAGTAGGCTGCATAATTTGGTTGCTACTGCTACTGCACAAGCTAAGGCCAAGACAAACCCTCCTGTTGCTGCTGCTGCTGCCACCACACAAGTCAATGGCAGCAGCAATGTGAATGCGAATGGAAATGGGAGTAATAGCAATCATCATAATCATACTCATAGTTTTGCTGGGGGTAAGATTAGGGAAAGGGAAATGGAGGATCCAGCAGTCAAGGCTAACTTGAAGGCAATGGCGGCGAAAGCCCTGTGGCATCTTGCTCAAGGGAATTCTGCCATCTGCAAGAGCATTTGTGAGTCGCGGGCATTGCTTTGTTTTGCTGTTCTATTAGAGAAGGGAACGCCTGAAATCCAATACAACTCTGCAATGGCGGTGATGGAGATCACCGCTGTTGCTGAGAGGGATGCTGATCTTAGAAGGTCAGCATTTAAGCCTAGTTCTCCTGCCTGCAAGGCTGTGGTTGATCAATTGTTGAAGGTCATTGAAAAGGGTGATTCAGACCTCCTTATCCCTTGTCTTAGTGCAATTGGTAATCTTGCTAGGACTTTTAGAGCCACTGAAACCCGAATGATCGGACCATTGGTACTGCTGCTAGATGAGCGTGAGCCAGAGGTGGAAAGGGCAGCTGTGATTGCCCTTACCAAATTCGCAGGCAGCGAAAATTACCTGCGTGTGGATCACTCCAAGGCCATACTTGCTGCAGGTGGAATCAAGCATTTGATACAGCTGGTGTATTTTGGAGAACAACAGATAGTGCAAATCCCAGCATTGGAGCTGCTGTCTTACATTGCACTGCACGTGCCCGATAGCGAGGAGTTGGCTCGAAACGAGGTGCTTACTGTCTTGGACTGGGCATCAAAACAGTCTCACATGGTGCAAGATGAATCTAGAGAGACTTTGTTGCTAGAAGCTAAGAGCAGGCTTGAACTTTACCAAACAAGAGGCACAAGGTGAAGAGTTAAAATCTAAAAAATTGCGCTTTTTCCGAATTAAGAGTAATTATTAAACACCCTACCCCAACTCCCTCAAATGGTGAATAGCTCATTCGTTTGTGTATCCATCTAAATTGATTTGTCTCATAAATATTACATTTTCACCTCGAAATTTTTTTGATGATAGCATGAATTTGTAATTTTGTTATCATTTAATGTGTATTGTAAATACAAATTAGTTGCAAAAGTTCATCAACAATGACAAAATTCCTTCGATTTTGAGCAATGGTTTTTGTTTTATTCAGTTAAAGATTCTCATTTGAGGTTTATTCTTGAATAATGTTAGGTAGGAAATTTATTGAAAATTGACAGAATAATTAGGAGGTGGGGATATGATATTGTGATTATTGTCTGATGTTTGTTCATACTGTTGAATATTATATGTAATGTGGCCCTATATGAACATGGCTTCTGATTTATGACTTATTTTCTCTGATGTGGTTACATTTTAGAAGACATGGCATACTATATAACAATTGTATACTATTGTAGATCAATAAGAACTGGAAATCTGAGTGATCAGGTCTTTTTCAAAGAGAATTTCTTAAACTTGGTGGTTTATTGGACACTCACCAATTGCCATCAGACACGTATACACGGAAATATACATACAAATACTTTAAATCTCGAGTGTTTTTATTTCAAAATCACCCTCTATCTCTTAAACACCTCTTGGCAGTGAAAATGCCACCAGCATAAACCCCAGGACCGATTTCTCACAAGTACAAAATCACTTGAAATCTCGAGTTTATCCAAAACACCTCTTGGTAGTGAAAATGCCACCGAGATTGGTATATATCCAGGGATCGATTTCTCATAAGTACAAAATCACTTGAAATCTCGAGTGTTTTTTATTTCAAAAACCACCCTCTATTTCCTAAACACCTCGGTGGCAGTGAAAATGCCACCGAGACTGGCTTAAACCCCAAGGATCGATTTCTTCTTTCTCACGTGTACGAAAATAACAATGTTCCATGAGGATTAACAATAAAATGCCACAAGTTTATTGAAATTCATGCAGCCAGGAAAGGCTAAAGAAAAGGAAGTGTTGCGTAATTTCCCATAGTTAGCAAGAGCCAAACAAAGCTTAACCCATCAAACAGTGACTGCTAGTGTATTGTACCTGGATTTTGCTAAAGTTAGCACATTTTAATCATCTAAAAACAGCATGTTACCTTTCTATCATTTTACTACTCTAATCATTTTTGCTAGTAACTTTTCACAATTATTGTCACTTTTTTGTTACCCAAAAAAATATTTTTACCCAAAAAAATAAAAAATTGTGAATTTTCAACGTGAAAATCATGTAAAAATGAAGGTGATGATGATACATTTACCGAGATTACTGTAATTCTTCCCATGTGAGTGAGATAAGCTCGACCAACCAACTACAACTGTATTACCTTCCTCCTTTGTCTTCTAGAAGCATCATGTCATACTAATTGACCTTTCACTATAAATACTCGTGGATACGAATCATACAAGTATACAACCCATTTTTTATTTTTAAATGCAATTTGTTTGTTAAATAGGCAAAACAAAAATTTACCAAGATCTATCACAGTAATATTGATTATAACAATGATAATAATAAAAACGGTTTGGTATAGATGCGAAAATAATCCCATGGTAATATTACGAATCTAGATTTGTATTAAATAATTTAACTTAATTTTCTTAAGATGATTGAATTGAAATGAACTTAATTTTAGTAAATTGAATGATCTAGATTTAATTTAGCTAAAATGATCAAATTGAAATGAAATAAATTTAATTTTGTTGAATAGATTAAACTGAAATGAAATAAATGATCAAATTGAAATGAAATAAATTTAATTTTGTTGAACTAGATACAAATTTGTTGAAATTGATTAGATTGAAAAGAAACACGTCCTATCATTTCTATCCTAAAATAAAATGATGGCAACCTTTTGCTTAAACCCCATCCGCCATTAATGTTATCATATTTTTTTTTCTTAAGTGGACAAACACCAACCTTAATTAAATGAACTTTATCAAACTAGGATGTGGGGGTTTCACAACCAAAATTTAGTGTTAGCCTATATAAAAACAATGGTTGGTTCAAACATCTTACCTTTGTTGTTTGATACTTCATAACACTAAGTACTATGAGTTTACATAAAGTTGTGTTGTCCAAAATATAATGATATATGGAATTAGACTAATGAGAATCACACAATCTCACATGAAATTACAACCTTCCAATCAAGTTTCCACAATTTGGAATAATCCCAATCACATATTTTTAATTCAATTGCTTAATAATGTACTTGCATGCAAAGATAAATTTGACCATAATTTTCTTAGAAAATATATAAGTAGCACTTTTCAATAAGAATCTAACAATATAGTTATAGAGTACTTTTCATATATTGCATTTAAAAAATTTCGATTATTATTGTCCAACCTCAATAAATACGGGTCGTTAGAGGTACATAAATCCCACCTAACAAGGTATTTGATACGCATCATTGAGACTAAATATTAAAATAAATAGAAAATTGCTCTTGAAATAATTGCAGGCGTAATACAATACATAAGTTATCTAGTTGGCATAATTCAATACTTCTATCTCTATATACCGATTACCATAGAAAAATGCTCAAATAACTAAATTTCCATATTACTTACAAAAATTTCCTATGAGGCAAATATATATAAACCCGCTAATTTAAGTTAATGAGCCGCTAATTTAATTAGTAGTAATTAAATTAATACATACTCCTCCCATTCCTACAATTCAACTCACTTCGCATTTGCACGGGAATATCTTTGACTATTGACAACTTCAGCTATGTAATCAGTTAAGCAGTCTTACTCTTAATAAAACAGCTAATTTTGTGAACAAGTAAAAAAAAAGTTGTACTACTTTCAGTTGCTAATGTAGACAGTATGTCCGAATATATTGATAAAAGGCAGAATCATGAAAGTTATTTTCAAGAATTTTCTAAAAAAAATCTCTCATCTATGTAAAATAAATAAATAAAATTAGGGTTTAAATAAAAAATGATTAAAAAAAACACTTGAGTATTTAATCAAAGGGGCATTTGTTTTATTGTTTGACCTTTGTACTGCAAACGTGATACATGTCTTCCATAACTCCGGTGAGTGCGATAAAACATTTTTTATTTTTTTAGGAAGTAAAATATATTTTCCAACCATTCTTTTTTTTTTTCAATCCACTAAAAGCTCCAGGCAATCCAAGACGGCACATTGAATCTGGACAATGATAAAACAACAACGTAATATAAAAAGATGGGTAAAATTTGAGGTACCAGATGATATATTGTCCCCTGTTCTTTCATAAATAAGTCAATATGTAATATTACAGAATACTATTTTAGAATGTTCGGGAAGAATTTTTACACTTTCGTCTACAGAGAGGTGAAGAGAAGTTGAAACAACATAAACTAATTATCTTAGTGAACTTCGTAAATCTTTACCTGTCTATGTGAGTAGGATTATGCGACAACTAGCCCCCAACAGAGAGGGAGTATGTACCATATCAATGAAACTGGACACTCGCTTGATGAGGAGAAAGTACAGACAATCAACTTTATCAGCTACGACCTGTAAAGCAAACAACAAATGTAAGCACACAAATGCTAGCTACGTGTTGGGAGAAAATTACAAAATAAAGCAGCAGTAAATCCTTCACGAGCATATTCATGTAGTATGTCGCAGCCTCAGTTCTCACATCTTTGGAGAATTTGGAGCTACCGCTGTCTTGTTCATTGTATCACAAAGACGTTAACCCATAAATTTGTTATCTCTACATGACATGATTCTATGGATATTGCTATGAAAGGACCACCACGACAGCAACCATTCTACTGACATTGAGACCAATTGAGCCATAAGAAGTTAGGATTTTATCATATAAAATCAATATACAATCATAAAACATGAAGCTGCAGTGAACCAGCTCTGACTGTGACAGATCTAAAGGGCTTTAAAGACCAATCTTTCTCCTTCATATAGCTAAAGAATCCTTCAGATAGTTGCCTAACAGGGGAAAATCTAAATCACCAGATTACCTCTTTCAGAAGCCTATAGAGCGTTGATTAATGACCTTGGGAAGATGTAGTGACTGCTTGCTCAAGACCTCATCAGTAACATCGTCCATATGACAATCATCCTATTAACATTCAATATTCTGCTCCAAAGTTTTATCTTAATTACTTAAAGAATATTTGCACTATATTTTAAAGGTATTTTTATGTTAAAAAGGAAGAAGATACATGAATAATACTTACGAAGTACCTCAGTTTTTTTAGTTCATTCATAGGTCCAAAACAAATCGCAAGTAAAATGCCAAGGGGTACTACATACGAAGTATATGTTAAAATCAAGATTTTTTATCCATCACTCCATCAGGCAGTAGATTTCCCAAGCAATTTAGATTTGAGAATGGGCTTACTTCATATATATTGCCTCTTTTTGCCTTTTATAATGCGAGTGCATACCTTTATATGATGAAGGGGGACAATTCACCTAGATCGCCCTGTGTAAGTGTGTCCAGGGTAGGACTTCTTAGAACTAAGCTGAACCTGCTGGGAAAATTTAGCAGCAAAACATTACTTAGAGTACAGGAAGAAAAATAGAAAATTAAAAGATAAAACAACCCCTCACAATCAAAGTACACTATGAAAAATCCACAACACTGTAAACCATTTGCTGCACAGAGAATCTGACAGTGCCTTGAGAATGTTAATTAATTATATCGGAATCAAATTTGGATTAAATTTAGATAAAACATTGGGTACAGGTAAGTAGAGGTTATCGTTTGACATTATCAATTAATGAATGAGTACACACTAACCTTCAATTGACCCACAAATATGATCATGTATCACAGTGATGCATACACCATGAATGCAACAGAGGTAGACTCTGACCAGTGACCACTTAGTCTTCAAACAGCCAATATCTCTCTCCCTATCATCTCTTCGGGGCCACGGGCCACCATCATATACGACAGATAAAATTCCCGACCCTAAGTTCTCCTTATCATTGAATGTTATAGTCTTCAGCTTCACTGTTCCAGATGTAGCCAGATTATACGATATTCTCCCAGATTTTACTTCTAATATAAAGTTAGCCTTGAAGGAGTTCCATGGTCTGGTGGTTAAATCATTGGACTCTAAATCCAATAGCCCGAGTTCGAATCTCAGTGGAACCGTCTTCTGCAAATATTCCAGCCCTCCCTTAGACAAGGAAACAAACACATCAATTTAGATTCCAAAGCAGTACATCAAATACCAATAATATTCACTTTGGTAATGAACCACAAGAACAGAGGAAGTTAAGATCAGAGGAAAAGATTCCTAACGATTATTGTATTATAATTTATAAATATAGCAGTATAAATCCAATATCCAGAATTTTATCAATGAAACCTTCATAGATCTAACCAAATCTTCTCAATTTTTAGTATAGGGAGTCCAGAAGCAAAGGTAAGAGTAATTCAAAAACAGCCTCTAGTCCACACTTAAAAGGTTGGTTAAAACTTCTCCCCAATTATTTCCTCGGTCATCCCCTACCTTTATGTATTTTAATTTTTTCATCTTGGGGTTAAAACAATTGTCTTTCGCTCTAACTAAGGCTAATTATATTTCTTGAAGTCAGAACTCCTTTATTCCTATGGAACAGCAGGCTTTGTAATAAAATTTCAACCTCTATTAAAACAGAGAGCTTGCATTGCTTAAAACACAAATAGAGAACTTGCATTATTTTATCAAATTTCCCCACCTATCCTCACCATTGGTGAAACGAGATTGGAAATCATATCACACACTTTGGGTCCAGCTTTCCCTTAAACATCAAAACAAAAACATGTAGCTTCAAATTCCAATACACCACAGAAAACATCCTAGTGTCTAGTCTAAACAGGCCAAAGATTTAGAAGAGACATGAGGGAAAGAACCGTCTGTAACCAGAGAATGCTTGACAATTGCGTTTATAACAAGTCTCAAGGATATAATTTGTGAGCTGTACAGTGTTTTCCAATAAAAGTGTGGCTAAGCCGTTCCAATAAAAGTGTGGCTAAGCCGCTAAGGTATCCTTTGTGGTTATGAATAGGCCTTGGAGGGCCTTGGGCAACCCCAAGAAGCTTCCCTTTAAATTTCATGAAGAATTTCCACTAACCTACAAGAGAATCACAAGTGAGATAATTGTCATCCATAGTCCCAATAATTGATTGCTACCCTAACGATACACGTGGTAGAATAGATGCGGAGATACTTAAATCTCTTTTCCTTTAAGGAAATCATCCTTGTATGTCTTGGCCTACGGTTGACGATTTCTGCACAGGACTTGGCCCAGCATGATGGTGCAAGAAGCCTCTATTGGCATAGACCTTGCTGCCTTGGCTTTGGACGGTGTCTAGACACTAAATGATGCCTATGTCCCAAAAGGACATTCATGTACTATAAAAACAATTTGACTACAACCACAACCCAAAACCCAGCCAAAAACGTGCATAATAAAACTGTAATAGAGTAATAGACCATCCAACTGGATGACGAGTCATAATAGACAGGTTAAGTAACTTTTACACTAGACAAAACCCAATACATCCTTTCGTATGTAAACTGCTTTTTGTAAGAACAAAAATACAACGGGACAAGTTTTTCAATCATTGTTTAGTTTTGTTTCATTTCTGTATACTATGGCCCTGGAAAATTGCTCCGAAAGTTTAGAACTTTGATTTTAAAAAAATAGAGCAAGTTTGGAGCTTTATCTTGCTAGGTGTGACATGATAGTATTAATTACTACTCCGTATTAAATACCAAAGAGTTTATAATAGTATAAAATACCTAACATGTCTTCGCAGGAGAGTACATGCCAGAAAAGGAAAAGACTGACCATGGGAGCCTATGGCCCAATGGGTTGCAGTTGGACCAGGTTTCATCTATTACTGTCTTGCAGAGGAAAATCCCATTTCCCCTCTTGGACAGGAGTGTAAAGTCTGAAAAATTTATCCAAATGAGCATAAATACCATAGCATATGTGAATAACATATATTATTATTAAATTACTTCAGGGAAAACCAAGCCAATGACATGGGTTATGGTATAGAATACTGAATAAATAGGCAAAATCGCCCAAGAAGTAACTATTTTCGATTCTTTCACAAAAGACTGACGGCAGGTGAATATTTGAGTCAGAGTGGTGGATTATCTAGCTTAATAGCAAAGCACTGCAAAGCAACCAATGTTTATCAAGTGCAGCAACACACCATCACTCAAGGGAAAATCCACCAAGAACTGCTCAAGCCTGGAGAGCAGTTCAATTCACAGTCTAATCCAGTTACTGAACACTTATGCAGAGCCACAACATCAAACATTATCAGAAAAGCACCTCAACCCTATAAACACTCCAATCCAAATATTCATCCTCGAAAAAAATAAGACTATAGCTAGACACAGTTTGATGCATTACATTAGCTCACCATAGTAGCTAGCTCTGCAGTCTAAGCCCAATTCTTCCATTGCATGTAGAACCTCCCCCATTACCACACTTGTCAGTGGTAATACTAGTATAAGGCTAACAAAAATAAGTACTATGAGGAACAGATATTAAACAGCCTAAAGCAGTATGACCTTATGAGGAATGAAATCTACAGAAAACAGTCATCACCTCAAAAAATTGAACTCAACCATATAATTTTTTAATAATCTGCTAACTCTCAGGAAATTAATTTGGTTACAGACCTCAAAAACAAAGAAGGTGTGGATAGACCAACTCACAAGAATTTCACACCGAGGTCATCAAGAATCAGGAACCAAACTAATATTGTAAACAAGGGATATAAATGGTGAATGTTGTCCAAGGCACAATTCATCTTTAAGGTTTTTTTTTAAAAAAAAAAGGAATTCATATTCAACACGGCCACCTTATAATATTCAAGTGTCCTTAGAAGTAAAATTGGAACAAAAGTACGATACTTTTTAACCTCATGCCCAGACAAAGAATAAGAGATCCCATGGCTCAGACTAAAAAATTATACCAATAGCTCAGAGCTTCGAATCATTTACTAATTTCATGACTAAATTATATTTCTTATACCAAGTTTAAATGTCATAATTGTTTGAGTGTCACACAAAAGATGAGATGTATTTTTCAGTATTGCAACTAAAAAACACTCAAAGATAAACCATTGTTAAAGGCTTGAGGATAATAAAGTTGTGCAAGGAATTTACACACTAAATATTTACAAGATACATTCAATCCATCAGACACTATGTTACTCAGAAGTCAGAACCATGTACTTATGTTAAACATGAGTTATATAGTTGTGTACAAGTGTCAGACTCTACTAAAAAAAAAATAATAATAATAATAATAAAATAAAATAAAATAACTTTTGGTCCAAAATGAAGCGCCAAGATTCTATACTCATGTGGGAGTGCTAAAAATCTGGCATGGGTACTTGACATTATAAAGAGTTCAAGTAAGAAGAATCAATGGGGCACTATTTCCTCATGACTAATAGCTACTCCGGAATTAAGAAAGGTAAAAACTAAATAAACAAAAGATTGACAGCCATATGGAATTCTAGATAAACACCTCACTCATCACATAATACGAGCAACCCACCTTATGAACATCTGAGCAAATCAACTCAGAACGATAATCGTACTCTTTTGATTCTGTATACCATGCTTCTGTGTATATCTTATCCCAAAGAATCTGTTGGAGAAAGAAAAAGTAAGAAACTATACACAATCAATGCACATATTTAAAGAAAGTCTGATTTTGATGAGTGACTACTATCTTCCGCATAATTACAAAGCAATGTACATATAATTTCAGAAATAAGCCCATAATTTGTCAGAAAAATTAACACGCTTGATAAAGAGAGATGACGATGCCAAACTTGCTTTCTTATAACTTGCATACAAATACGTTGAAACAGTGATCTTCTATTAGAAGATTTAGAACCAACAAGGGAAATACGCATTGAGGAGGACGGCCAGAAAGGCCACACAAACCACGCCATCCAATTAGAGAATTTCTAAAAAGAAACCTGATACTGCAAAAAACCATTTAGCATCATATACGGAGTCACAATTCACCAATGTGTTGGCCTGTTGAATATTACATGTACACACATAAGACAGAACTCCTGGATGAACTTAATCTCTCAAACCCATAGCTTCTTTATACTTTTTTTTTTTTTTTTTTTTTTTTGGGGGGGGGGGGGGGGGGTTGGTTATTATACCAATCATTACTTTTCTCAGCTATCTAGTCTGAAGTTTGAACCATCAAGGTCACCTTCTTACATCACTCGCCGCCTCTATTACACTGTGTCATGTGCAGAACCTAACGGTGAAGACACTAGAATGTGAATCAACTGAATCCAATAGCCCAAATTCAGATCTTAGTAGAACTATCTTCAACTTATCTGCCTGAAACTTTCCAATCCCAAGGAAGGGCACACTTAACAGCTCACAAAAAGAAACAATTGCTTTCTGAGTTTTTAGTTAAAGGTTGATACATCAAATATTAAGCAAATTTTAGACAATAACCACATTAAAAACCTAAGTTGCAGATACAAGGGTACAACTTTCCAACATCAGAGATAGTATATTTTCCCAGTGAAGATTGAAGAGTTTTCTATATTTGACAACGAAAACTGCATATGGAGTTAGTAATATAAGGAGGAAGATGAATTCACTTTTTAAAGCACACACTTGTTCTTTGCATTCTGCCTAGTCATTTTGTTGAGCTCCTTCACACATAGGATTAATAATTTGAACTTGTATTGGCAGCTTCAACTCGAGAGGTTTCTTTACCACACGTTAAACCCCACACACCCTAATAAAAACTGCAGGTTCAAGCTTCAACTTAATCATCGAAACAATTAACACACAAAAAAGGCAAGAGAGGCAACGTCTAGAGCCAAAATTTCTAAGACGACTCATCTAGGTATATCCTATAGCCATATTAAATTGCTTGATATCATGATATGCCATTTTTAAGTACTGCATGATAAAGAACCCAAATCACATCTCTGTTTCTCTCCTAGAGAATACATCTCATTATACTGGATTCATGATCCTATGACGAACTATGCCTAGAGGAAACAAAAAGAAATTTGATAGTAGTTCAGTGCGCCTAGATGCCCACCGTAGCTATATTTGCAAATTGTAGATGGTCAAAGTATGTAAATTCAACCTAACTCTTCCTTTGTATGCAAAACTTCTCTGGCTGATCACAAGTATCTAAGTAGTGTAGGGATAACAAAATGAAAGATTGAAAAAGGGAAGAAGGTATAGTGTAAAATGATTTAAAAGTTAGCGATATTGAAAGTATACCCGAAAGCACAATCTGCCAAGCATATAGAACAACAACAAAAAAAAAAAAAAAAAAAAAAGAAGAAGAAGCAGTAGCAACAGCAACAACAGCAACAACAACAACAACAATATTTATACCGATCAATGCGTGATTTAATCATGCAATCCTAAATTAAGACCCATTTAGACTACATTAAATGCATGACATAATCACAAGTCAATTAGTTATGTCAATGCTTGGTTAAACTAAATATTTCCTTTTTGAATCCTTATATATGGGTCATGTACATCATTATCTAAAAAAGAGTTATTAAGGACCCTTCTTGGAAATAGATACAAGAATCAGGCTAAGTACAGCACAGCGCTAGAAACAACAATGGCCTTGTTATAACTTCTTCAGCCATCCCTCAACCCCACACATCACCCTTTCTCCCCATCACATCCAAAGAAAATAATTTTAAAGAATATAGATAATCTAATCTTAGAACTAGAAAGTTGGCCAAAGGGATTACCACACTTAAAGGATCAATGAAGAGGGTTAGGCCTTCTATCTACAATATACATATGGATATGAAAATAAGAGGGGGTAGGGGTTATAACAAGTCGGCTAGAGTAGCTCCACCACCAATTTACACTCAAGTCAACGAGCTGGTAGAGTTAAGAAATCCAACATGGATAATAGAATATGCAAGTTACATGCTAATTCATAAAAGAGGATAGTGCACAAAAGCATTATTTACACTACCAAAATTTTGGTCACCTCATAAGTCATAAGTACCACTAAAACAAAGAGGGAAGACAATTTTAAGAAACAGAAGGCCAAAAAACCCCATAAATTCCTGGCTTCCCTTTTTTTAGTGGGAATTATGAGGTGGCTGAAAATTAAAAATAGTGCAGTAGTGTACATGATAATTTTGTACACCAAGTATCTCTATGCCTTCCACAAGGTAGCACATTACTAGCATTTTTTATGTTCAAAATTCCAAAATAGTGATCCAGCAAAAAATCCAAGGCATATTACTCTAACACTCACAACCTATTTGATAAGCGGCATAAATGATGGGATTGGAAACGAATTTATAAATAAATGTGTAAGAGAAACAAATTTTCACTCCTATTGTAATACTAACTTATCAGTTATCCTAAGTTCACTCTATTGCTTCCAAAACATTCATCGCGAAAAACCATCCACTACAAAAAGTAATATTGTTTGGTAAAAAAAATTACATTAAAATGGACACTACGACATTACTTCACTTGTCAAATTACACTTAAATTCATTCCCATTACCGCAATTACAACAAACCATCAAAAGTACCTTCATGCACCCAAATTTCTTTTAAAATAACCAGAAAGAACCGACTATATTTTACTTCGTATATACTTGTATAATTTATGATATGAATATATGATCAAACTATCAAAGACATCCACAATTAACTAGCACAGTTTACTCTCTACTCCATACTAACTACACATAATTGAAACAAAACCCTAATTAAAATACTCCGCAACCTTTGAGCATAATTGGTGCAACATTATTCAAATTTCAAACCTAAGATAACATATTTGAACATAATATTAAATTTCAGCGAATTCTTCGATTTGTAATTATACATTAATTAATAATTGACTACAAAAAGAAATCACAATTCGAGAAATTACGAGAAGTAATGCATAATTTGAACTTTAATTTCAAATGAGAAGGTTACCTGGCCAAGAATTTGCCGTGATTTTCCAGCATTCCGCCGTCGCAATTGGCGCCAATGAACCGGCGTCGCTTTGACGCCAATTTAGAGAGGAAGAGTTTTAAAAGAGGAGAGTGGATCGGAGAATAATGGACTGAATAATAAAAATGAAGGGATTGGACAGTGTTTGGACTTGTATGATGGTAGACATTTGAAGGTTTAAAGGCCCAGTCCTCGGCTTTTTACTCTCTTCGTCTCTTTTTATGATGCATTATATTCATCTTATCTGAACTTATCTGAGAGTATTATAGCTTATTTTAGTTATAAATTGAAGTTGGGTAGTCCTGATTAATTCAAATCACAACTTATTTGAACTTATTTTTCCCAAATTTATCTTATCTGAACTTATTGCCCCTTATTTAAACTTAGGGTCTGTTTTGTTCACCTAATTTTCACTTATTCAGGTGTAATATAGTTCAAATAAGTTCATTTAAGTTTAAATTAAGTTTAATAAGTTCTGATAAGGGTTATCCAAGTATAAATACAACTAAAATAAGCTTTAATAATGTCTAATAAGTTCAGATCAGTGAAAATCAGATAAATAGAACACACCCTTATTTTTCCTGAAATAAGTAGAATTAAGGTTAACATAACAGAGTCTTACTTGTCTTACTTTGAATTTGAATTTTGTTATTACGCTTCATCTATTTGAGTTAGGTAAAGGGACTGAAAATGACAAGGAAAGGGCAAATGACTAAACTCTATGATTCCACATGTGTGGACTTGATTGAAAAGATTGAAGTTAAGAAGTTTGATGGTGTAAAAGAGGAAATGTGTGTATTTGATTATAGTAAGTTGTTGATATATCGTATAATGTACTTTCGATTACACTATGCAAATTTGGGTTGAGTCTAAACATACATATCATACATTCACAGGACGAGCGTAGATCACTCGTGTAGCACTTGAATCCCTAGACTTGATCCATGTCAACCTTCCTCATATGCACAAGCAACATTATATAGGATAACAATACACAATAATAATAAAATGGAAAAAGACACATGCGTTAATATAGAGTCATGGGTAAGGTTGCCCCATATGAGGCTTGTTATGCTAGCGGGGAATTTTTCACCACGTGACAAACTCCCCCATCTAAGCCATGATCGCCCTCGTTGTGGTGCTGTAAGTTAGCTCCACATCACTTCGCAGCATAACACTAACGCACTAGCTTGCCTATGAAGTTACATGTTGACACACCATATCCTCTTTCTTAACACCATAGCAAGGCTCCCTTTCATCGCCATTGCTTATGTTGCTGCCTCCCCATGTTTCCACACTTCATCCCTTCCTAATCACTTAACACATCCACTTGAATTAGGTTCCTCCATATAATTGACATCGAAACACAAACATCCCTCAAATCTTGTTGAGATGAGGCACTTCCCACCAAGCTCGCTCACCTCCTCTCAGGGTTAGCGCACCACCTATGCTACACTGAGTACTCAACTAGATCACTCTTGATCTCACCCCACACAACACATTCCTGATATCCTTCATCGCCGCGCCACCTCAATCTAGCTCGTGGTGGCTTGCCCAATGCAACTTACTACCTATGGAGGTTACCTCATATGAAATTTATCATGTCAGGGATTAAGGTAAATGTCACCGCATAAAAAGTAGCATAAATTTACATTGACGAACGATCACATATAATAAAAAAAGTATTAACTTTTACAATAAAAAAAAAAAAAAAAAAAAAAAAAAAAAAAAAAAAAAAACTTAAATATCCAATTGTATAAAACCCAAAACAAAATCATAAAACATAAAAATCAAAGCAACAAGATCAATTAGCCACAAAAAAACATCTACAACCAAAAAGGGTCCCATGAATGAAAACACTACACTATAAAACACATGAAATAAAAAAGGCTTAGCAAGATTTTTCCATAAACTTATCTTCATAACTACCACTCCCATTTGCTCATTCAATTTCCTCCACCCAATACATAATCCACTCCTCCATCACCCACTTCACTACTAATAAAACTACTCAAATTTTCACATTTTCCTTTCATTTCTTCTTCTTCTTCCTCCTATTCCCATTTTCCTCCGCCATGGCTGCCGCCGTCACCGCCGCCGTATCTTTCCCTTCCACCACCAAATCATCCTCTCTCTCCTCCAGAACTTCCTCCATCATTTCCCCTGACAAAATCTGCTACAAAAAGGTAAATTTTCACTTTTTACTATTTGGATATTTCAAATTTCTCATTTTTTTTACTGGGTAGTGTGAATTTTTGCGATTTTGTAATGTTTGTTTTGATGATTTATATGGGTGTTTTGCAGGTTCCTCTGTATTACAGGAATGTATCTGTAACAGGGAAAGTGGGACCCATTAGGGCCCAGATCACATCTGACGTGGAGGCACCACCTCCACCTCCTGCTAAGGTTGAGAAGCATTCAAAGAAAATGGAGGAAGGTATTGTAGTTAACAAGTACAAGCCTAAGAACCCTTACATTGGAAGATGTCTCCTTAACACTAAAATTACTGGGGATGATGCACCTGGAGAGACCTGGCATATGGTTTTTTCTCATGAGGGTAATTTTCTATATCTCTAAGTCTCTAACCATCAACATTTTGATCCTATGATAGACTTTTTCGAATACGATATTTAATATTACTCCGATTTTGTGTAATACTTGGTCTGACCGTCTGATACAAGAATTTGCGATATATTAGCTTGTTGTATGTTCACAAATCACATGTTTATGATGGTAATTTTCTAATATTGTTTTTACCAATAACATATTGATCACATGATAGGCACTTGTACATTATTTTAATAGTATTAATACTTGGTCTGACCGTCTAATGCAAAAATTTGCGATATATTCATAATTAATTAATTATATAATTATATATGTACCATACTACATAGTATATAGAGCAAGTTACGAGTAGTGTTTTTGAATGATTTATACTTCGTATGTAGTATTGTAGTGAAGTAAGTGAACCTTTATGATGCGCATATTTGTGTAATATGCTCATTATATTCATAATTATATAATGGTATACAATAAGGTAGTGTTTTTGAACTATTTGTAATGTAATGAACCTTAATGATGAACATTTTTTCAAGCATGCGAGTTGATATCACATGAACTTGTATGTTAAAAGATGGTATGTGAAATTCTATTGTTAAATATTAGGATAGTTTGTAAGATTTGTCACTCAATCATGTGGTCTTACAGAAGCTTTATGTGATCTTGATCTTCTTATTGGTAAATTGGTATTTTTTTCAACTCAAATTTTGAATTTGGTTGCATGTATTTGTAGGAGAGATCCCTTACAGAGAAGGGCAATCTGTTGGGGTCATTCCCGATGGTGAAGACAAGAATGGAAAGCCCCATAAGTTGAGGTTGTACTCGATTGCCAGCAGTGCTCTTGGTGACTTTGGTGATGCTAAAACTGTAAGGATCAAACCCTATTAGATTATATTGTTTTGTGCTGTCCGAATTTTCAGATATTCTAAGGAGTTGTGTGGTTGCATTAGCTGAATGCTGTTTATTTGAAAGTCGAGGACTTGTGAATGTACAATTATATGAATAGTAAGGGTGAGAATGTGATAGAGCTAAGAGAGTAAAGAATGCTTTGGTTTCTGTCAGGAATTCAGGATCAATAAAAGCATATCATACCATAATAATAATTTCAACTTCCTAATAGCCTATTATCATTATTTGTATGTTAGTCTTGTTTGACATTATATCTATCTTTCCCATGGGGTAAATTTTTGTTTCTCTGTGCTTTTAGGTTTCGTTGTGTGTAAAACGACTTATCTACACCAATGATGCTGGAGAAACTGTCAAGGGAGTCTGCTCGAACTTCTTGTGTAAGGATGCCAAATCCTCATACTTTCCAAATTTGTTTTATCACTTGTGCAGTACAATCTAGTGGTATAGTCATTGCTCGAAGGGATCCTACATTTCTTGTTTGTGGTGTATATGTGGGCCATGTGGCGCCTTTCTATGAGCCGTAGAGTGAGTTTTTCAAATGAAACCAATGGGAATAGGTGACTTTAAAAGGGATGTATCACGTATATGGTGACTTTGATGAGAGTGGGATGACTTAGGTGGTCTTACTGAATTACTCTGTTAGCCTATTTTATATGAACTACAAGTGTTAGCTTCTGCTGATTGTTTGATCGATACCATATGCCATTGACCTTTGACCTTGTACTTCACAACTCAAAATTCTTGTACTCTATGTAGGTGACTTGAAGCCTGGTGCTGAAGTGAAGTTAACAGGGCCAGTTGGAAAGGAGATGTTGATGCCCAAAGACCCCAATGCCACAATTATCATGGTATGCCCTATTCCTGAGCTTGTCACGTTGTCTTCCACGTGTATGTGCTACTATCTATCATGGTTTTCCCCATCACTACTCAAGCCTAATGAACATTGCCTCCATTTTTGTAGCTTGGAACTGGAACTGGAATTGCTCCTTTCCGTTCATTCTTGTGGAAGATGTTCTTCGAAAAGCACGATGATTACAAGGTAAGTTGAATATGCTTGTGTTACTGTCTTCTAGAAACTGTTGCTAGACATGGGAAACATGCAGGGCTGACAATCAGATGATTTCTTTTTGCTTATCTTGGAATTTTGTTAAAATTATTCTTTCGAACTTTCTTCCATGGGAGCATTTATACATCTTCACATGACTTTCTAGTGGCAATCCTGCACTCAGAATTGTAAAATTTACAAGTTGTGTGTAATTGATAAATCTATTGCAATTTCAAAATCAGATTGGTTTTTTTTGGTACTCTTACTGATATATGCTCAGTGTGCTAGTTGATGACTGACTTAAAATTTCTGATTATAGTTTAACGGCTTGGCTTGGCTCTTCTTGGGTGTACCCACAAGCAGTTCTCTGCTCTACAAAGAGGTGAGTTAAATCTACATCATCTAGCCTAAAAATTTGGCAGTAAAAACTGTGTTTCAAATGATTAATCTTCTAGACCAACATTTCTAACAAATGCACTGAAAAATGCTCACAGGAATTTGAGAAGATGAAGGAGAAGGCTCCAGACAACTTCAGACTAGATTTCGCTGTCAGCAGAGAACAGACAAATGACAAGGGGAGAAGATGTACATTCAAACCCGTATGGCAGAATATGCCAACGAACTGTGGGAAATGTTGAAGAAAGATAACACTTACGTCTACATGTGTGGGCTTAAGGGAATGGAAAAGGGAATCGATGACATTATGGTTTCATTAGCTGCTGCCGAAGGTAAGCTGAAAGGAAATATAGAATCCAAAGTTCTTCTAAACTCTAACACGGACTACACGGTGAGTTGGTGGCTTATTTACTCTTTTCTTTCTTCTTTTCCAGGCATTGATTGGCTTGAATACAAGAGGACATTGAAGAAGGCAGAACAATGGAATGTGGAAGTCTACTGATAACTCTTGTACAAACATCTCTTATTCCTTTTTGTGAAGCAGCTATATTTATTACCTATTTTTCACTGCACCTTGTAGATAGGTCAGTTTTTTTTTTTTTCCTTATATTGTATTGACGATAAGCCATTGCATTTTAGCGCCATAGCATAAAGCTCTTGTCAGAAGACTAGTATTCAGCTAATATAATGAAAATCATTGTCGACACTTGTACACGGAGGAAATTATGAGAATGAACTTATGCTATAATGTATAATCTGATTATATGTTTTGTGGCATGGCATATATATGAGGTTATATTAGGCAATTTGTCGGGTTTTACTGTGTTCTCAGGCCCTTGTAAAATAGTTAGCTTGCAGGTTGATGAGCGTTGTTATGCCATTGGTTGCAATTCAAATCTGTGTTGCAGATTACTGATACTAGGAACCAGCAGGCAAGCTTGGAGTATAGTTTTGATAAGGCAGAATTGGAATTCTTTTTTCTCCCTTTACCTCTCCAAATCAATCATAGAAAGACTTTTATGGGTGGTAAAAATGTTCTTACCTCGTTAACTTCAAGGAGCATTTCGAATCTTCAGAGGCTATTGTTCAGGAGCATTTCGAATCTTCAAAGTTCTTCATTCGCGACAAGAACGATAACTTTTACTATAGTGACTTTTAACCTCGATAACACTAAAGCTTTTATAGTTTGATTGCTCCAAAGTCTGAAGGACAACTTTCTTAGGAGTGACTACGGCTTAAATAACATGCAAAATAAAGGCGACAATCTCATAGTTATGAAACTCAATTGAAAAATATATGATCACATTGTTATGAATTTGCGTTTTATTCTCAACAAGTGTGATAGTTGGAGCATTCAACACATATACCATAAGACAAATCAAAAAGGTGATTGGATAGCTAATATTGGTCACTTTCTTCCTACGTTTCAAAAAAAAAAAAAAAAAAAAAAAAAAAACCTTCATAGACTCATCACAACCGAGTACCACCAAATGCTAAACAATTTAAATCATTTCTCATCTCATCAACTCGCAATTTGAACTTGATCTTGAACTTTCAAATTCAACAACATACCTTGCACATAGTGCAACACATACTAATCATGATCCACCCATGATTTGCAATAATTCCTAAAACCATGAGTGTTAAGAGCATCATTATTGGTGAACAAAAAAAAATGGTTCATGGGTCATTATCACCATTTCTCTCTCATCCACATCAACCCAACAAACCATTTACAATATTCACTCTTAACAATGAACACTAAACAATGGTTCATCATCAATACTCCCTACCCCACCTTATTTTATTTTTGTAAATATAATCTATTTAATTCATAATTATAATTTATTAACTCGATGTCAATGTAATTAATTGACGTATTTAATTTTTTAATCGTGATTACTAATTAAGAAATTATCGCGTTTTTTTATTAGCTTTTTTAAAAACTAATTCTTGTGATCAATATTTTTAAACAACAACGCAGCTAATTTTAATTAACATAATTAAAAAAAAAAAGAGGTATAAATCGTGATTACAGTACTACAACTATAATCAAGTACATTTTTTTTTTTAAAAAAAAAAAGAACTACTACACATCGTTTTGTAAGATGTCCTTAGGGATAACCATTTGTTGTAAACCTAATTGCGTAAGTTCTCGTTGTTACCAAATTTATTCCATATATGTGCAACCAAGTCGTTTTTTAGCTGCAAATGAGTCTGTTGATCCTCAATCTCTGTTCTACGAGTCAAGTATAAGCCGATATCCACAATACGATCAGTACGATACTCGGTAGTGTCCTCATTAGCGTTGCCTCCAGCATTCATAAACTCATTGGTATTAACGTTATTTTGATACGTCTCTCGTTCATCTTCAATGATCATATTATGTATTATGATGCAAGCGAGCATGATATTGTGGAGTATGTCGGTATCCCACGCCAAAGACGGCTATTTAATAATGGCAAAACGAGCTTGAAGGACCCCAAATGCGCGTTCAACGTCTTTCCTTGCAGCTTCCTGTGTTTGGCGAATAAACGATCCTTACGAGCTTGTGGACTCGTAATGGATTTCACAAAAGTAGCTCATCTAGGGTAGATTCCATCAATAAGATAATACCCATTCGTATAATGATGACCATTGGCTACGAAGTTCACAGCAGGCGTTCGACCCTCTAAGACGTCTTCGAACACAGGGGATCGATGAAGCACATTAATATCGTTGCAGCTACCTGGCATCCCAAAGAACGAATGCCATATCCATAGATCTCTGTCCGCAACTGCCTCCAGTACGAGAGTTGCAACTCCTGCTCTTCCTTGATACTGCCTCTTCCATGCGTGTGGACAGTTCTTCCACTCCCAGTGCATACAATCAATGCTGCCTATCATGCCAGGAAATCCACGTTCTTCCCCAATACGTAGCAATCTTTCCATATCTGCGATGTTTGGACGGCGTAGGTACTAATCACCGAACTGGTTGATGACACCTTCTGTAAACTTTTGGAGTGCCAATCGTGAAGTAGCCTCACTTATACGGACATACTCATCACATGCGTCTGAAGCACACCCGTAAGCTAGTTGTCTAACGGCCGCAGTGCATTTTTGAAGTGGAGACAACCCAAGACGACCTGCCGCATCTCGCCTTTGTTGAAACCAAGGGTCATGTTGGGTCACTGCGTTGAGAAGGCGCTCAAACACATGTTTACGCATTCGAAACCGGCGCCGGAACAAGGAACTTGGATAAACTGGGACTTCCGCGAAATAGTCATTGTATAACCGTGCATGACCTTCTTCGCGTCCCCTATCCTTTCGGGGCTCAGTAGATTTGCGTCGGCGTTGCTGAGTGGCAGCTTGAATAATTGGTGGAATGTACTCATGCATTACATGTTGTATCATAAGACACACTTCATTACGTTGTTGAACTCTAAGCTCCCTTCCCTCATCATCCGAGTTAGATGAAGATGAAGAGGAATCGGTTGAGCTTAAGTTGAAACTGTTTGAATTCATTTTCTACGTAAGAAATGTAAGATAGAGTGAGGTTTTCTAATAATAACTGCAAACGATTTATGTGTTTGTGTGTAAAATAAATGAAAGAATGGTGTTTATTTATAGTGAACTAATTTGTAATTCTTCTTCAGAAATAACTGAATATAAAGAGACAAAGATCACATGGGCTATGACAAACACTGGATTAGAACCACACAGAAATTGAATGGAGAAGAAGGGTTTCACATGGGCTAACAAAGGGGAAATTAAGATACTGACACAATTATATATAAAGAGACAAATTGATATAATTGAATAAAGAGACAAAGATCACATGGGCTATGAAAATGGGATAGTGGAAAAGATCCATTTTACTGATTAATTGATAAAGTACAAATAATTGGAAATGCGTACAAGAGGTTGAACTGGAATTGAAAACTTATCACTACTGAAAATGAATATTACAATGCCTAAGCATCATTAGTGAAACTTTTAATTTTGTTCTAAAGTATTACTATCATTTTGTCTTCCCACTGTTCTCGGTTTACTTTCTGTTCTAGACGAGCTAGTTGCTCCCAGTGGATCCTATGTTGTTCTAGCTCAATTTTCCGTTGTTTCCTTGCCTCCTTGCGCTCCTGTATTTCAAGCCTCTTCATTTCTGCTTCGTTTGACACATTCATCGAATCCCCAAATAGCTGCAATCGGGTGTTGAATGTTTCTAATTCCTTAAATGCTTCACTTGATGGAGCTTTACCCTTCAACCTCGACTTAGCCTTTTTAATTCCTTCAGCACAAGCTACTCTCTCATCACCGACACCCACGCTGGTCGGTGTGGTAGGTGAGGAATTGTCACCCTCATCCCGTGTCCTCTTCCCACTACTTCCGCTCCCTACAGACTCATCCGTCAGTGGAGTTGAATGTGGACGTCCCACCGAAGGCTTGAATGTTTGTTGGTCCAACAAAGACCGGAATTTGTCAAACTTCCTAATTTGGATCCATTCCTCGTAGAAGGTGAATCGTCCGAACGAGTTCTCATGGATTTTGTGGGCCTCTTGGATAACATCATCTTCGTTATAGCCACTTCCCTTTCGCTTCCGGGCCTTATCATAGCTTCCGCACCACTTTAACATGGCTTCAGAGATTCGCATCCACCTTCCCTTCAAAATACTAATAGTTCGTAGGGATATTTCAACTGGATTCGATTCCCTGGCAGCATCGTATGCGTCCAAGACTCTATTCCAAAATTGACCCTTCTTTTGATTTGTGCCGATAATTATGTTGGTGCTGGTGTTCATGTAGGCGGATATAAGAGTCGTAGTTTCTGGTCGCGACCAACTTCTATTGTTTGAACAACCAACACGAAATTCCGGAGTTGATTGGAGTGGTTGCTGTAACATTTGAGTGAAGTTTTGATGGGGGGAAGGAGTTTCATTTCCCTCACCATCATCCTCGCAATCTTCATTTGCCTCATCTTCTTCAGATAAGACATTGCTCGATTCCCAAATATTGGGATTCGGTTTTTGTGACGGAAAATATCCAGATGCAGCACCATATTCACCGTAACCCATTGGTATCATGGATGGATGTGGGAAATTTGAACTGCTTTGAGAAAAATTAAAATTTTGAGGGAAATTTGGTGGATTATATGGGCAACTTGACTGGGGTATTTGAGGATACACTCCAGAAAAATTATGGGGAATATTTGTGGGTGTTTGTGAAAAATTTGGGTGAATTGGAGGAAAATTGGCTTGATTCGGGATCATATTTTGACCCAATTTTTTTTTCTGCTTTCTATTTGTTTTGGGGTTGGTATTAGCATCCATAATTATAATTTATATTTGGAAAAAATAAAAATTTAATATTAATAATAATAATAACGATAATAATAATAATATTATTATTAAAAATAATAACGATAATAAAAAAAAATAGTAACGATAATAATAATATTAATGATAATAATTAAAAATAATATTAACAATAATAATATTAATATTGGTATAAATAATAATAATATTGGTAATTATAGAGAGGATTTTTGAAGAGAAAAATATAGTAGAAAGAAATGGATTTTCAAAGTTGAATAAAGTATATCAATATGGGTGTCTATTTATAGAGGGGAAAAAAATAGAGCCGTTGGTAATTTTTTTTTTTTGATTTGTATTTTGTAAATTATATCCGTTGTATTATTACAACGGATTTATTTAAAACAATGAACACGTGTCAAGCAGCGGCTGGGTCAAGTGGCGCGCTCCCAGCCGCTACTTTCTATTTTTTTTTCTGCCCGTTAATAAGCAAAACGACGTCGTTTTGTATGAATATCAGTGGAAAATTTTGGTGGGGCCCACAGCGAATTATTTCGTCCAGCTACTCGCTCCTGCAATCGAACGCATGACCACTCATCATGAACAATTATAGAGTTTGCCATTAAGCCACCACCTTATTTGTTCACTCATTGTGAACTATTAAAATGTTCACCATTAACGCTGCTCTGAGGACAAGATTGCACTTATGGTAGGATGATAGATTCATGAAGCTAAACTCATCCTAGTCATCCCTTACTATTGCAAAAGAAAAAAAAAAGTCATAAAAAAACAAATAAATCGTCAAACTTAAGCTTAAAGAATTCCAATAGACGATTCTATGGGCCCAGTCTTTGACCCTACATTACCCCACATTAAAAAAAATAAAACCCAACTTTCAGAATTTTCTAGAAAAAATAACCAAACTCCACTAGGGTTTTAGTCTCTATATAAACTGAAATCAACCCCGATCAATTCTCTCTCATCGCACTCAGAAAAATCTCGTAATTCTAGGGTTAGGGTTTTCTTCCTCTCTTCAACAATGGCGCAAGAAAATCGATCTCGAGGTGTTGTACGATGGTTCAGCGATAGCAAGGGTTATGGCTTCATTACACCTGAGGATGAAGGTGAAGAGCTTTTCGTTCATCATTCTTCGATCAAATCTGAAGGTTATCGTACTTTAACTGAAGGTGCAACAGTCGAATTCACCTTCGCTGTTGGCTCTGATGACAAGCCGAAAGCCGTCGATGTTACTGGACCTGACGGTGCTTCTATTGTTCCTCCTTCCTCCGGTGGTCGCCGATCAAACGGCGGCGGAGGCGGCGGTGGTGGTGGAGGTGGTTTTAATGGCGGTTGGCAGAGGAACAGCAATTCTGATGGTGGAAGGTGTTACAATTGTGATCGACCTGGTCATCTTGCTCGTGATTGTCAACAGAATTCCGGTGGTGGATACGGTGGTGGTTACGGTGGTGGCAGCGTTGGTGGCGGCGGTGGAGCTGGGAATTGCTACAATTGTGGACGACCCGGGCATTTCGCCCGAGAATGCCGAGGCGGAGGCGGCAGTGGAGGAGGAAGAGGAGGAGGTGGTGGTGGTGGTGGTGGTGATGGGGCGTGTTTCAATTGTGGCGCTTTCGGACACATGGCTCGGGATTGTCGTCAGGAGAGTGGCAGGTCTGGTGGGAGATCGGGTGGCGGCGGCGGAGGCAATTGCTATAGTTGTGGGAAACCAGGGCATATTGCTAGGGAATGCACTAACGTGGCTTAGAGAAACGTACAGTGTTATCTCTTCTCTTGATTTAGTCTCTAGTTTCGTATAAAAAAAAAAATACTTATATCTACTATCATAATTTTTTTGTTTTGTTTTGGTATGCTAGTATTGTTTTCCCCCTGTTTTTCGGTTGGTTATACATAGGATAACTTGAGTGGGAAAATGTTGATATCCTAATTACTGGAGTTTTCGATGACATTGATGTTTTCCGGTTTGTTTGCGGATGGTATACATGATCTTTTGGTTACTTCATTGTGTTGTTTTTATGGTTGGTTTACAGTATGTTTAATCATGAATTCATGATTCAAATTTTTCGATGTGCTCTATAATCGATTATCTTGGTGTTAGGGTTTTGAAATTCTTTTCAATTGCATTTTTGAACGTTGTATTATGGAATTGGGTATGCAAATTGGCATTGTACTCCGTATTATCTTTGGATTATGGAGTTGGATTTGTGCTATAATAAGATTTGCTGAAAGTTTGCGTAGAATTGAATCAATATCAGAAGTTGATATCTCAGTAACCATGGAATTGACGAATTTGTTAAGATTAGATTGGGATTGTCAGGGACAGGACAATGATAATGGGGCTTTGTACAATCTTTTCAAGCCCTTGATAAAAAGTTATAGAAATACTTGATTACTAATTGAAATTTTGTGAAATTGGATTGTAATATATTTTGAAGATCTTTAATCGAGATTTAGGAAGCTGGGAAGGTTATATAATCGATTTGCTGAATCCAAGAGTTTATGTTTGGTTAATTTAAATTATGTAGTCTAGCTAAACAACAAAAGTGATTTGTGCTGAGATAGCCAAGTGATATAAATACATCGTGGATTGTTCCTAAGATGATTCAATGATAATTGAACTGGAGACCTATAACCAGTTTATTCTAAGAATCTTAACCAAATGCTGCAACCAGTGATGTAGGAAATTCTGCTTTCTATGGAGAGCAAATAGTAATGTCTTGTTCTGAATGCAGTCAGATTAAGTCTAAATTATGTCTAGTTTTGCTGAACTATTTCTTTGGCTTTGGCCGATTTAGTCATGGAATGTCACCTCTTCCTCTTTTTTGGTCTTTTTTCATTGATCAGTTGGTGAAGGTTTATTTTTTATCTAGTTCGGTATCTATTATTTAATTTTTCCAAGCACTTGATGCCATCTTTCTGTTTGATGCTAGTAGACATCAGTATTGTTGGTGTTCTGAGCTTGTCTTCTTTTTAATCGGAGGACATAGATGCATCATGCATGATTGGGGAGTTTTTTTTTGGACATAGATTGTTGATCATTTTTTTTTAGTTATGTTAAGAATTGAAAGTCATCATTGCTGGAAATAAAAAAAAATAAAAAGGATTAAATTGTCTGTTGGCATGCCCTAAAGGCCTATATAGTATATACAGACTACGGTCTGCCACTCATTTAGTGTTTCTGCATTCTGCTTCTCAATCTATGTATTTGTAGACTCTGTCACTCTGGTAGCATCTTGGGAGTTAATTCATTTAGGAGAGCTAATTAGGTGTGCTTATGTTTAATGGGGCCTTCTTTTCTTCCCATAGTCTCTGTGATTTGTTTCAAGTTCTTATAGCCTGTGCGCCGAGTAGCCCTGTTCTATTTCAGGTTTTGTTCATCTTGTTAATTACTGTTCTGGCTTTGCTTTGGGGATAGAAGTGTCTGCTGTATCAAAGGAGTTAGTACTTGGTCTGCTGGATGTTGGAAATGTATTTAACTTTTGGCTGTCTTCTATTGCAATCCTCTATATTTTTGGAGTCATAACGAGCATTGTTAATCGAATTGCTGCAGTTGGATGGTGAAAGACTTGAGTCTGATATAATTTCTTGTCTTGATTTCATCCGTACCCTTGGAAGGAACTAGGAATCATAGCCCTTTAGACAGGTTTTGATTAGCAGATGTCGGTTGATGATTGATTATTTGTTCGCCTTCTGAATCATTGAATTACTACCAATGGCTGATCTTTGAAGTAATTGTTGCTTTCTATTGCCGTAAGTCCACTTGCTCCGAGGTGTATTCAAAGCTCTCCTTTTATCTTAGGTTCCCTTTCCAGATTTTTCTATTTGATGCCAATTTAAGATTTTGGAGGTTTATCTAGTGGTTTATTTTGATTTCTTATTCTAGTTTTTTCCTAATAGGTAGTTCATTGTGCTGTTTTTAGTCTGCCTGATTTCTGATTTCCGGAGTGTAGGAACAGAGCATCCTGCTGTTTTCAGAAAACAAACAATTTTTTTGAGGTTTAAAGCACTAATACACGGTATATGCTATCACTTTTACTAATTTGATTTAATTTGTTTAACCATTGAGTTTATTACTCAAAACATGGTTGACTTTATCAATGTTCATATTCATATCTATTTGACTTTTAACTATTCAAATTTTAATCTAGAATAAAACTAATTCAATTCTTTCAGATGATACAGGAGAATAAAATCATTACATATAGAGGTTAAATTAATAAAGTATGCAAAGATGATTCCATAATTTGTCATTAAATTTGTTGCTTTAGACTTTAGTTGCCTCCTAACAACATTAGAAAAAGTGACCATCATGAAATTAGGGGAAAAGTATTGGCGCATGGCCCTATATATTTCACTTGCAAGTTGTAAATAAGATGATATTTTTGTAAATAATGGGTACATGAGAAAAAACGGTGATGAAAAATATGGTGGCAAAAAGTACCACTATATGCATTGTACATAAAAATACTATTCAGATAATTTATATTTTAATGGTACATTATACATGGATAGTAGAACAAAAAATGTACCACTGTACCATTAAAAGAGAGAAAATATACCACCAAATCTCAAACTACCCTCCTATATGCATGCAAAACACATAAGCCCTATGCGTAATGTTGAAAATCGTGCAATGATTTTTTCATGATTGTTGAATAAGATTAGTTTTGAAAATACAGAGTAACACTTCTTAATACCTTCTTGAGGTACTAAAGCTCCTACTCCCTCCGTATTTTAATAAGTATTACAATTTGACCGACATAAAGTTTTAGACAATTTAATTGACTTTAATAAAATAAGAGGTAAGTAGGGTAGTTGAAGTATTAAAAATTGTAAAAGAAAGATTTTGGGGTTAATAGTTTATTACACCCAGGTTGATCTTGGTGGTTTTTTTAGGTGTTTATCTCATTTGCCACGTAGGATCAGATTATAGTTTATGATTTTATGAAAAGTGGGACCCATTAGTCGTTACTTCACGACGTTTGCTTTAACTTTGACGGTGTGAAAACATTGCTTATCTTTTCCTTTCGTTTGTTTTCCCCCTTCTTCATCTCTTTCTCCCCCCCCCCCCCCGTGTTGAGTTCTTTTCCTTTTTTCTCGAGTTCATCCCCTTTGTAGTACCCCAATTGCGATTTCTATGCGATTACATTTACCTCAATTGCGATTTCTATGTGATTACACTTACCTCAATTGCGATTTCTATGCAATTACGAACTACACGCCCCAATGTACAGATCAAATTCCACATATCTCGACGATTCTGCGATTCATAACAGTAAATGCGACTTTGAATTCCAGCAACTCGATGAACAACAAAAGAACCAAAGAGAACGAAGGCAAACTTAGCACCTAAACCACCGTTCGTTTCTGTCTTCTCCTTTTCTCGATTTTAGGGTTTCGATAAACATAAAGTCGTTAGGCAAAGTCCGGGCTTCCGTTAGTCCTTTTTTTTAACTGTCAAGTTAAGTAAGTACTATAAAGCCCCTTCACTTAAGTTTTTTGTGACAATTTACCCTCGTGAGAACACAATTTTTGTTTCTCACCGAGATGAACTTGTAATTACCAATAGTTTATTGAAAAATAATGAATGCGAGAAGAAGTATATGTAATAATAGAAAGTAGTTGTGAGTTTGAGTGGGGAGCATGAGAGAAGAGAGATATAATATTTAAAGTAGTTTTTTGCTAAAAAAAGAAGAAACGTAACACTTATTAAAACACTGAGAGAGTAATTGCAAATACAACATTTGGATTTTTTTTTTTTGAAGAAACAATACGGAGTATTTCAAAAATGAAACTACTTGATTTAGAGTTTGCAAAATTAAGATTTTTAAGGTAATATTCATTGACAAGACCCAAATTTAATTAAAAAGAAGCATCAAATTTTAATTTGAAATGGATGAAAAACGTTTTATCATTAGAAAGTAAAAATTTAATCCTCCTCTCTATTGAGAAATTTTTATACCACTGGCTTCAAGAGTTCAAGATGTAACAAAAAGTTCATTTAATCATCAAATAAAAATCAAAAATTAACATTGAATTAGTTGAATATCCATTCAGTCGTGCACCAATAAGAATACAGAATTTATTTGGCTATTTGCCACAAAAAAATTTAACCTGTCCAGTTTTAGTTTTTTTTTTTTTTTTTTTTTTTTTTTTTTTTTTTTTTTTTTTTTTTTTTTAAAAAAGGGTACTCCACTACTCCGTAACTTCTCCTGTGAATAAAAGCATTTTCAATGCACTTTTCGCCCATTTCCAGTTCGTAGAATTCTCTCTACAAATCTACGGAGTAATAATTAGGGTTATCGATCTACTATCTTCTACTCAAATCCAATATTATTCAGGTATTCATTTTGTTTTAATTTTCGTTGTTCATCTTCTGTAAATTCAAATCTTAGCTATATTCTTCAATTTAATCAACGAATTGCCTTTTTTTTTTTTTTTTTTTTTTTGAGAATTTGAGAATTTGTTCGTTGCTTACAATTGGCGATGAAATTACGATTCTGACGAACTTGATTAATTACCGTATTTATCAATTTATGGATATGATTAGCTTTTACAATTTAAAACTTTGATTTGTAATAATTCGTTTTGGCAATGCTTGGTTTATTATGAAATGTATTGTTTTAGTTTCATCATTAAATCATTAACTGGAAAAAATCATGCAATTTTTGTTGATTTTTGATTATTATGTATGTAAATGTGATGTTCAAATTTTTAGTTGTGTAACAACAGTTTTGGTTTGATGTTGGAGTCTAGGGTTTGATGCTTTGTTAAGCTGGTGAATTTGTGATTCAAAGCTATGGCTTGGTTCCGAGCTGGATCTTCTGTAGCAAAGCTTGCTGTTAGGAGGGCTGTAGCTCAGGGGCGTTCTTACGTGTCTAGAGCGCGATCTACTGAATTGCAAAGCCGCTATTTTGTTAATTCACAGTCCCGTTTTTTCCATGGCACGGTTTCAAAACCAAATGCAGCTCCTGTTCCGCGTGCTGTGCCCCTTTCGCGGCTTACTGATAGTTTCCTTGATGGGACCAGTAGTATTTACCTAGAGGAGTTACAAAGAGCTTGGGAAGCTGATCCTAGCAGTGTTGATGAGTCTTGGGATAATTTCTTTAGGAACTTTGTTGGCCAAGCCGCTTCTTCACCAGGGATTTCGGGGCAGACTATTCAGGAAAGTATGCGTTTGCTATTGCTTGTGAGGGCTTACCAAGTTAATGGTCACTTTAAGGCCAAGTTGGACCCGTTGGATCTGGAGCAAAGACCGATTCCTGATGATTTGAATCTGGATGTTCATGGATTCAGTGAAGCTGACCTAGATCGTGAATTCTTCCTTGGAGTATGGAGGATGGCCGGGTTTTTGTCTGAGAATCGTCCTGTTCAGACTCTTAGAAATATTCTTAACCGTCTTGAGCAGGCATATTGTGGAAGCATTGGTTATGAGTATATGCATATAGCTGATCGTGAGAAGTGTAACTGGTTAAGAGACAGAATTGAGACCCCTACACCAATGGAATATAACAAGGAGAGGCGTCAAGTGATGCTGGATAGGCTTATATGGAGCACTCAGTTTGAGAGTTTCTTAGCAACTAAATGGACTACAGCTAAAAGGTTTGGTCTTGAAGGTTGTGAAACTCTTATTCCTGGTATGAAGGAGATGTTTGATAGATCAGCGGATCTTGGGGTTGAGAATATTGTCATTGGAATGTCTCACAGGGGTAGGTTAAATGTGTTGGGTAATGTTGTAAGAAAACCACTGCGACAGATATTTAGTGAGTTTAGTGGTGGCATAAAACCTACAGATGAGGTTGGGCTTTACACAGGAACGGGAGATGTCAAGTACCATTTAGGAACTTCTTATGATAGGCCTACTAGGGGTGGTAAGCGGATCCATCTCTCATTGGTTGCCAATCCAAGTCACTTAGAAGCTGTGGATCCAGTTGTGGTTGGGAAAACAAGGGCTAAACAATATTATTCAAATGACACTGACAGGACAAAAAATATGGCTGTTTTAATCCATGGTGATGGCAGTTTTGCTGGACAAGGTGTAGTCTATGAGACACTCCATCTTAGTGCTCTTCCAAATTATACCACTGGTGGTACTATCCACATTGTGGTAAACAATCAAGTTGCTTTTACAACTGATCCAACGGCAGGAAGATCATCACAATACTGTACTGATGTTGCAAAAGCTCTGAATGCTCCTATTTTTCATGTAAATGGGGATGATTTGGAGGCCGTGGTTCATGTTTGTGAGCTTGCTGCAGAGTGGCGTCAAACCTTCCATTCAGATGTTGTGGTCGACATAGTTTGCTATCGTAGATTTGGTCACAATGAGATTGATGAGCCATCTTTCACGCAACCAAAAATGTATAAGGTAAGTCTGTTAAAAAACTTGTTTGTTTTCTGGTTGTATATTTCTTGGTGTTAACTATATTAGCTTGCATTCATTTTTTGTATGAAACTGCTGTACTTGAGAGTTGAGACTACCAGAGATAGACGATCAAATACCTAACTGTTGCATTGGAAGAGGATTAGTGGAAGAAGGGAAAGAATCACAGAAGGCTGTCCTCTTACCTTTGGTTATTTTTTGACAGGTCATCCGAAGTCACCCTTCTGCTCTTGAAATGTACAAGAAGAAGGTTTTGGATGCTGGGGAAATGTCAAAGGAAGTTATTGATCAGATCCAAAAGAAGGTTATAACTATCCTCAATGAGGAATTTGATGCCAGCAAGGATCATGTGGCTAAAAAGAGGGAGTGGCTTTCTGCTTATTGGCTAGGTTTCAAGTCACCCGAGCAACTCTCTAGAATCCGTAACACTGGGTACTTATTCTTTTATGGACTTTCTAAACATAAATTTTTAGGTGTCTATGTGGCACTTGTGCTTAACTACTGTTTGAATTGTCATTCTGAATCATGTTTTTTTTTTTTTTTTTTTTTTTTTTTTTTCTCCAGGGTTCAACCAGAGATCTTGAAAAATGTTGGCAAGGCAATCACCACACTTCCCGAAACATTTAAGCCACACAAAGCAGTGAAAAGGATTTATGAGCAACGTGCTCAGATGATTGAAACTGGGGAGGGCATTGATTGGGCAGTTGGAGAAGCACTAGCCTTTGCTACTCTGCTAGTTGAAGGAAATCATGTACGATTGAGCGGTCAAGATGTTGAGAGGGGTACATTTAGCCATAGGCATTCTGTACTCCATGATCAAGAAACTGGAGAAAAATACTGCCCATTGGACCATGTCAATATCAACCAAAATGACGAAATGTTTACTGTTAGTAACAGGTGAGCTCTTTACAAGTCTGGCTTTGCACCCAATACTTAATGCAAACTATTTCTATTTTGGATTGAACTTGTGACAGCTTTCCTTTTGTTTTTGAGCACGCAAATATTTAACTTACCTTCTGCCAAACTTAATTCAGTTTGCCTCTGAAGTCTAGAGGGTACATTTTAGGATGGAATCTTAAGGATTAAACCATGGCATCTTACAGTTCTGGGTTCTGGAAAATTAAACAGTCAGTAAACATATTTGAAAAGTTTTTCAGAAATTTATTTATCTTCACGAGAGATAAGATCTAATGGTTTGCAAATTCATGCAAAACTGGGTTATACTATGGGCGATTTTAAATTTTCATTTACCCGTCTTTTCTATGAGGAGCCTTAGTTGTCTTTAATTGCCTTTTCTAACTTTGCATCTTGTGGCATGTTGTTCTCCCGTCAACCTTAGTTCAAATTTCTTAGCCAATATAGCCAATTTTTATTTTCTTTCCAACCTAAGAGTTATAGAACCTGTAGTTTTATAGTCATCAATTGATGGGTTAAGATAGGTTTATAGGATCACAGTAGCAAACTAGAGAAAGAACAAGATCCTTGGAGAAAGCAAGTTTTTATGTGAAGAACCAGAGGTGCTGTTTGTACTGTTAATAAATACTGTTTTAACATAATGACCTGACTGTTCTCATTTATATAAACCATTCTGTAATACTGTTATTTTCTGTTGTAATCCCCCCCCCCTGTTGTCATGGCCCTTATATCCGGGCCTTGGTGGAAGATATAGGAATTGAGCCACATGTGTTCAAAGTCGTTTGGACGACCAAATTGAATTGATTATGACATCCAACAAATTATTCTCATATCAGTTGGACTTAATTGAAGAAATTAAAATTTTACGAATATACCTTACATGACTTTTCTTCCATAGGTCATAGCTCATAGGAAAATCCCGTATTTGGGAAGAGAAAAGTCAGGAAACAAAGGAAGATACTGTACCTTGTAGTAGGGACATGAATTTTTATACTATTAACGAAATTTTGGGGTTGAATATTGATGTCTCAAGTTTGGTGAAACTTCTAAGATCTGGAATTTTAGAAGTGAGGATGATTCTACAGAAACAAAAACTTAGAGATATGGAGAGGAAAAGTTATAAAGGGAGAACAAAAGAAGAATAAAGGATTAATGTTCTACACCCTGACCATTGAACCAAACTTCATTATCAGTTTTGCATATTATTTTTAAGAATTTTGTGGGTTCAGTTGAACCCACCCTTTATAGGTTTTAAGTCGTTCGGAAGACTTGTCAGTTACTTAATCCTATTCTAATATTTTGATTTTTGTTCTTGGTGCAGCTCCCTTTCAGAGTTTGGTGTTCTTGGTTTTGAATTAGGATATTCCATGGAAAATCCCAATTCGTTGGTTCTCTGGGAAGCTCAGTTTGGCGACTTTTCTAATGGGGCACAAGTAATTTTTGATCAGTTCTTGAGCAGTGGGGAAGCAAAGTGGTTGCGGCAAACTGGTCTTGTTGTGCTACTTCCTCATGGATATGATGGTCAAGGACCTGAGCATTCAAGTGCACGATTGGAACGTTTCCTACAGGTATTACTCTCTACTTAAAGAAGCTTTATGTGGACCTCATGAACTGCTTTTGCCATATATATGAACTTAGAGGTATATATTTTTTTTTGAAGATCCTCAACACTGTATCACAGAGTGATGGAAGAATTTGTCATTTTATTTCATTGTTATTGGCATGAGTGGGGAGTTAGGTTTTAGGGCGATGTTTCAAGTGGTTCATTCACTGTGCTATGAATCATGGGTAGAGTTTTGAGTAAGGGCACCATTCAATTTGCTGACAAAAAATGGCTTGATTTTGTCGACTAGTAGACTTTGTCCTTATAATTGAATATGGGTTCTGGTAAACATATTCCAGATTTAAGAAACTTCGATCTAATTGCAAGTAAAAGCATAATTTGGAGCTAAATGTTGTGCATGTGGTTGAGCTGAGCCTGAACCCAACCTATCTTGCTCCAAAGCTTTGTGATCTGAACTGCATATCTTGCTTTTGTCCAAGACTGATCTAAGCATGTCAAAAAACTATCCTTTATCTGTTTGATATACTACATTGTTGTTCATGTATGAATAGGTCCTTTGAGTCAGAATGGTCATTGCATAACCATCTCCTTGGAAGGGTATTTATGGGTCATCCCTCAATTTTCATTTTACTCTATTTCACCAGGGGGTGGTAGGTTTGGAGATATATTTGCTTTGTTTCATGTAATGGCACTTGATTGCTTGGAAGATTTTAGCTCTGTGATTTGAGCTTTTGGCAAGTCAGCTGAGCCTGACTGAGTGTGCTTAAATTTTTTCTTTTCAGATGAGTGATGACAACCCCTATGTCATACCTGAGATGGAACCCACACAACGGAAGCAAATCCAGGAATGCAATTGGCAAGTTGTCAATGTCACAACCCCTGCTAATTACTTCCATGTTTTGCGTCGTCAGGTGAGTGCATTTTAGCAGCTCCTGTAATCTGAAATGTTGTGAAATAGATCTTTTGTAGTTCCGTTTGCTCATATTATTTTCTTGTTATTCAGATACACAGGGAGTTCCGCAAACCTCTGATTGTCATGTCACCCAAGAATTTACTTCGTCACAAAGATTGCAAATCAAATCTTTCTGAATTCGATGATGTTCAGGGTCATCCTGGTTTTGATAAACAAGGAACCAGATTCAAGCGTCTCATTAAGGACCAGAATATGCACTCGGATCGTGAGGAGGGCATTAGGCGTTTGGTTCTATGCTCTGGGAAAGTAAGTGTTTTTCACTTTGGTCAACAATATAGCATCATATATTTTGGTTTTGCTTCAGCAAGCAGGATTTAGGATCTTTGTTAGTGCAATTTTTGCCAGATATGTGGACAACAATATTGGTTGACGTAAAAGAAATTAGGAGTAGTTTAATATGTTTGCTCTCTTTGTTCATTGTGTCATGGGCCAGTGTTTGACCTGAAGACGTGTTAGTTTGTGCAACACTGGCATGTGTTCTAAAGTTTATCAATTATGTTGGTGTTCTGGTACAGTCACTGTTCCTCACTCTGAAAATTTGTAGGTATACTACGAGCTTGACGAACGCAGGAAGAAAGAAAATAACAGCGATGTTGCCATCTGTAGAGTGGAGCAGCTTTGCCCTTTCCCATATGACCTTGTCCAGCGAGAGTTGATTCGGTATCCAAGTAAGTTTCAAAATTGGTTTGGTTACATGCATTATACTCAGGTTACTCTGGTATATTTTATTTGTTAATGTTTTGTAAACGTCCATATATCATCGAAAGCTTGGTTGTATATATCTTGATGACTCAAACTTGCCATCACAATGGCTTGATGAGGGGTTTGTTGGTGTAACTTTGTTTTGGAGCATTGGACATGTCTAGTTTCAGGCATTTAAGCGTTCCACATTCTAATTCATGCTGCATTTACTTTGTGGACAAGATCCTGCTGCATGTAACAAGATTTTGGTTGCATCAGAGTTTTAACTTACAATATTTACTGCAGATGCTGAGGTTGTGTGGTGTCAGGAAGAACCAATGAACATGGGCGCTTACAGCTACATTGCACCTCGTTTATGTACTGCAATGAAATCTGTAAATAGAGGAACTGCTGATGACATTAAGTATGTTGGGCGCCTTCCATCTGCTGCAACTGCTACTGGTTTTATCTCAGTTCATAGCAAAGAACAGACCGAGCTCGTGCAGAAGGCATTGCAACCAGAGCCAATCCCATTCCCATGAGCCTCTGCTTGATTTTTTATATGATGGACCAAATTTGAGAAAAGAGAGAGCATATTTGGTCTCTCCAAATGTTTTGTGCAGTAAAATAATTCGAAAACCCATTGGTTATTGTTATTTGTTATGATTTTCTCAGAGAGAAATTTCATATCAAATACATATAAAACATGGACCTTCTGGCTTTCTTGGTAGCAATTGTTCTTCGGAGAAAGCTGGTGGTGTCTAAAACCTATTCTTGATTTGATGAATTTTGATCCTTTTTACTACGTATTTCAAGAAATGTACAAGGCCAATACGGAGTACTAATATTTTATAATAGGAAAATTTGTTAGTCTTTTGGCCATGTATACAATTTTTTTGTAAAACGCGTTGCCCCTTAATTGGTAGGGATAACCAAATAAGAGCTATGTTTGCAGTAACTATTTATTATAAAAGAGGGGGTATTTTTCTTGTTATGAAACGGAGGTAATTTTTAAAATTTATATGAACAATAGTACTCTTAAAATTTTTCGATGAGTAAAAGTACCTTTAATATTTTTCTACTTTAATTCAACCTTTTTTTGTAAGGATTAATCGAACAAAGGGAGTAACACATAATAATAATGTCGTACGTACCCTACTACTCCCATATCATCTCATAGCTATTGGAAAATCTAATTTATGACACGGCAAAAAACCATTACTTAACCCTTTAAGGAATTAAAGTTACCAATTTCCAAAATTAGAATAACATTACCACCTGTAAAACAATTTCAAATACGTAGATTTTACATTAAAATAAAGTAAAATGTTACACTCAAGGATATTGTTGAGAAAACGGCTTAACTTTCGTATTGATCATAAACACATATATATACACAATACATAAGGAAACTTAGTTAGCCTAAAACTCCTAACCCGATAAACATAACATAAATACAATATTAACATAAATACACCAAAACCAACTCTAATACTCCCCCTCAAGTTGGAGCATATAGATCACGAATGCCCAACTTGCGTAAGAGAAAACCAAACTGTTGACGACCAAGAGCCTTGGTGAGAATATCTGCCAACTGATGACCTGTCGAAACATATGAAGTAGAAATATTATCGTTTATCAACTCATCACGAACAAAATGACAATCTACCTCTATATGTTTCGTACGTTCATGAAACACCGGATTCTTAGCAATATGCAAAGCCGACTGATTATCACAAAACAACTTCATAGGCTTTGAATGCTTAACACCAAGAACAAACAACAACATTTTCAACCATTTCAACTCACGAGAAGTGAGAGCCATAGACCTGTATTCGGCTTCAGAGGAGGATGTAGCGACAGTCGGCTATTTCTTAGTCTTCCAAGAAACAGGGGAACGACCTAAGAAAACAAAATAACCTGACAAGGAACGCCGACTCAACGGACACGCCGCCCAATCACTATCACAAAACGCCGTCAAGCGTAAATCCTGCATTGGTCGCAACAAAATACCTTGTCCCGGACTACCCTTAAGATAGCATAAGACACAAATAGCCGCATCCCAATGAGAAACCTGTGGAACACTAAAAAACTGTGCCAAAACATGCACTGATTAACTCAACTCCGGTCGAGTAACCTACAAGTAAACCAAACGACCAACCAAACGATGATACCGTTCCGGATGAGAGAACGGCTCACCGGAAGCATGAGCAAGACGATGATTCTGCTCCATTGGAGTATCAATGGGTTTACAGCCCAACATTCCTGCTTCAGTCAAAATATCGAGAGCATACTTCCGTTGAGAAAGAAAGATGCCCTCGGGACTCCAAGCGACCTTAATGCCTAAGAAATACTTAAGCAAACCCAAATCCTTCATATAGAAGCATTTGCTCAAATAGGCTTTAAATCGAACAATGGCCTCATGAGAGGAGCCTGCAATTATCAAATCATCGACATATACAAGAACATGCAAAGAGACACTGCCCTGTACATAGCTAAATAGAGAGTAATCAGCATATGAGTTTTTAAACCCAAAACCTCGCAGAGCACTTGACAGTTTTGAAAACCACTGTCTTGGGGCTTGTTTCAAGCCATATAAAGATTTCTCCAACCTGCAAACTTTGCCAGGCGTCGGAGTACCGTACCCTGGAGGAAACTGGTTATATACTTCTTCATCCAAATCACCATGAAGAAATGCATTATGAACATCAATCTAATGTAACTCCCAATTCAAAGACACATCAACAACTAATAAGATACGTACCGTAGTCATCTTTGCAACTGGAGCGAACGTCTCATTATAATCAACACCTTCAACCTGACGATTGCCATAAACAACCAAACGAGCCTTGAGACGTTCCACTTTTGATTTGTCAGTGTACTTGATTTTATACACCCAACCACTACCAATAGCCTTCTTGCCCGGAGGAAGATCCACAACGGTCCATGTGCCATTGCGTTCTAGAGCATCAATCTCATCTTGCATATCCTTACGCCAACCGACGTCTTTAACCGCCTCTTTGAATGAAGACGGTTCCTTTCCCTTAGTGATCGTCGCCAAAAAGCACCTGTGTCTGTTAGAAAAACGATTATATTCAACATGACAAGCTATAGGGAAAGGTTTACCTGAGGAATGTGATTGAGGAGGGACGACATGTGTTGTAGAAGGGTCTATATTTTCAGTGATGATAGTATGAATGACATAATTCCAATGCCACGAAGGAGGCCGTTTTTCACGATGACCACGACCCAAATTATCCGACGTACTCCCCCTCAAATATTCCGGATCAATAAAAATATAAAAAGATATGAATATAATTAAAATAATGGATTTTGTTGAATAATGTTTTGGTATATAAGTTTTCTTCATTCTCCTCGAATTTCTTTTATTTAGTTCTTTTAACCTTTCTATTATGAATATGTTTCAATATTATCAATCCATATTGTTCCTCTTCATACACTTCTTAGGTAATAACTAACAACAATTTAATCATCAATTTTATTTGACAAAGTAATTTTATTTCTTTTCTTATTATTGATGTTTATAATGCGACAAGTTTGTTTGTTTGAAATGCAGGAATGAGTTTAGCAGCCAAGTTCACGTTTGTCAACCAATGCACCTACACCATTATGGCCCGCCACGCTCACCGGTGCCGGCACCCCTTTATGTTGGAAATAGGTAATGCAAACGGATTCTCGCGCCCGATCGAGCGGTGGTTCGCCCGACCGGGCGGAGGTGGCTAAGGAAAATAGGTGAACTCTCGCGCCCGATCAGGCGGCCTCGCCCGACCGGGCGACGGACTCGAGTTTTTGACGAGCCCGATCGGGCGGCTTTCGCTCGATGGCTCGCCCAGGGTGGGTTCCATCTCGCGCCCAATTGGGCGGCTTTCGCCCAATGGCTCGCCCGGGGTGGGTTCCATCTCGCGCCCGATCGGGCGGCTGCTTGCCCGATCGGGCCCGCCTTTTTCCTAGGTCGGTTTGCTTTACGTGTCTCCTTTTTCCGGAACTCATATAAATACGAGTCTTGCCTCTTCATAAGAAATTCATTCACTTTTCAACCCGAAAACACAAAACCTACCCTTTGAGATCTGAACAGTTCTTGAGCAATTCCACTCTTCGAGTTCGGGTGCACGGATTACGGAGAGAGTTGCGTTAAACTTGGGGGGCGTGTGTCACTAGAAAACCTGTACCGGTGGTGGCGTATTTCGCTTCTAAGGCAGTGGATTATTGTTTTACGGCGTGACTGTGAGTTTGAGATCTTCAACCAAGTATTTTCCCTTTCATCTTCTCTATTTTTTGTTATTGGAATCGACAGGTATTTTACCAACATGAACTCCCTGCTTCTGCCACTGGTTTTTCTCTTCTCCCTGGAGCCACCAATGTCCTTAATATCCCAGCGTTGTGGTCGGGCCGGATGTGGGCCCGGACCGATGTAGATTTTTGGCTCACTCATAATAAAGTCTGGCCTATAAAAATGTACTGATCATTCTAACAAGAAGTGTTTGTTACCTGATTAAGTATAATTTTACTCCATACCTATATTTTTTTGAAAAAAAAATTCAATAGTGAGTCAACTATATATGATCCAATTGAGTCATCTTAGGCATTAAATTATAACATTTTTATAAATTCAAAAAACAATAATATTAATGCTTTTGATCTACGCAGTCTTAATCAAGTATCAGCATTAAAGATACTCGTAGTTTCTAAGATAGTATTCAATGTTAGCTTAAAAATGTATAACAAAATGACATTTTGTTCAATTTCAACTTCTCCTGTTCGCTCTATCCAGGGCTGGCTCTTTAATGTTTATATTAATATTAATAATCGTAACAAAAGAATGAATATAATTGACCGGAAACTGCACGTTACTCTTTCTATGTTTCTATCACGAACGTTTTTCCAATTTGAGCTCTAAACGTAAACTATTGACAAAAATGGTTGCGTGGCAAAACTATTTACCAAACTAAGCTTCCAGGGTAAATCGCTGTCTCGGACAGCGTTTTACCCCTGGTTTTTTTTTTTTAAAAAAATTCAACTGGTAAACGCTGTCCCAGACAGCGTTTTACCTTCTGTATTTTTTTAAATTCAGTAGGGCATAAAACGCTGTCTCGGACAGCGTTTTATCCTTGGGTTTTTTTTTTTAAAAAAAAACCGACTACAACTATTTTATATGTTCAACATAAAGCGCTGTCTGAGACAGCGTTTTATGTTCAAGCATAAAACGCTGTCTCAGACAGCGCTTTATGCTTGAACATAAAGCGCTGTCTCAGACAGCGCTTTTTTGCTGGAAACAGCAACCAGCATCCAGGCAGAAAACAAGCTTCAGCAAACAGCTTGCATGCTGCAGTCCTCCAACAGCCACCACAACAGCCAGCTCCACAGCCCTACCGTCCATCGTATCTGTTCACATGCAATTTAACAAATCCCAACAGAGTTAACGCATTAGCAATTAACCAAAATGTTAACGATCAAATGTTCCAAATGTTATTAAATCAAAATGTTCCAAATGTTATTAAATCAAAATTTTCTATTACAAAATAATTCCTCCATCTACGATTACAACGAATTTCAGTTAACAGTCATGGGTCCTCTGAGGGTCTCGATGGACACGTTATAGGGCGTCCAGGTTGTCTCGCAAGGGATTGGCCAGAATTGCGGTAGGGCTGTGGAGCTGGCTGTTGTGGTGTTAACAGTTGGGATTTGTTAAATTGCATGTTGGGATTGCGGTAATGCGTTAAATCTGTTGGGATTTGTTAAATTGCATGTGAACAGATACGATGGACGGTAGGGCTGTGGAGCTGGCTGTTGTGGTGGCTGTTGGAGGACTGCAGCATGCAAGCTGTTTGCTGAAGCTTGTTTTCTGCCTGGATGCTGGTTGCTGTTTCCAGCAAAAAAGCGCTGTCTGAGACAACGCTTTATGTTCAAGCATAAAGCGCTGTCTGAGACAGCGTTTTATGTTCAAGCATAAAGCGCTGTCTGAGACAGCGCTTTATGTTGAACATATATAATAGTTGTAGTTGGTTTTTTTTTTTAAAAAAAACCCAAGGATAAAACGCTGTCCGAGACAGCGTTTTATGCCCTACTGAATTTAAAAAAATACAGAAGGTAAAACGCTGTCTGGGACAGCGTTTACCAGTTGAATTTTTTAAAAAAAAAAAAACCAGGGGTAAAACGCTGTCCGAGACAGCGATTTACCCTGGAAGCTTAGTTTGGTAAATAGTTTTGCCACGCAACCATTTTTGTCAATAGTTTACGTTTAGAGCTCAAATTGGAAAAACGTTCTTCTATCATCATGTATAATTCTACATTACAGTTCCATGCATCAATAACCATCATTGTTTTCGTTCTGCATTTAAAATACCGGTTTATCCATTTACATGTAGCACTTCAATCTCCTAGTAATAAAATCATTAAATCAATCACTTGAATCATTAGAATCTCATATGAAATCTCAAAAAAATCGACACCCAAAAATAAAAGGAATTGCAGTATAAAAAAATATTTACTGTTGAATTTTTCATCCTTTTTTTTTACAGCTCTTTTCACATCATGACAGTCGTTAATGGATCATGTCTCAGATAAAGGAATAGAAGGAGGGATGAGGCGATAATATATTTAATGGAACCAAAATCCTATAGACTTTGATTGATTATATTGATTTCATTTTTCAAATATGTTATTTTAGTCATGTTTAAATTTTTTCATGTAACTCAATGATGATCATGTTGTAAAAGGAAGAGTGGTATTTTGGTATAAAGGTGGACACTAAATCATCCCCTCTTTCCTTGCATAATAGAGATTAAATATTATATGTACTAGTTCAACAATAGTATAACAAAACAATTTGAAACCAATATTTATGATGACTTGGGAATAATTCAAAGTTGATGTTTCGTGTTTCTACTTTAGTCTTGCTACGTTTCCACTCTATACTACCTATATAATTATTATTATTATTATTATTATTTTTTTTTTTTTTGAAACGGGCCTATATATTATTTCTAATACTCCGTTATAATATAGAAATGAGTGATTGATGGAGGGAAAGAATGCACATGGCCACATACACTGGCGGATCTACTAAGGAACCAGGGGGTCACGTGCTACCCCTAGTTTTTTTTTAAAAATATTTATTGTTTTAGTATAATTATTAAATTGGCAACTATTGTCGCAGCGGTAGAATTGCTGAATTGTGTTGATGGTGGGAAATGGCTGGCAAGTTGCAAGTTCGATACCTCACACATTAACTTCTATTCTTTTGCTTTAGCCTACATATTTTTACTTTTGTCTCACTCTATTTTTTTTTAATTATCTCTACCACTTTATTAATTATCTTAGAAACCAATTTCTTCTACCTTATAGATTATTAAACAAGGCTAAACCAAAATTATATAGGGATGAATTGAACAATTGTGAGGCAAAGTATGAATAGTTTCAAATTTACAATACGTCAATACCAAAGAGTTAAGTTATTTCTTTTTCAAACAAAAATATTTATTGTATATTTTTTTGTTTAATTCCTACACACTTATAAAAAAAATTCTAGACTCAAATTGATTTTTTTTTTTTGATATTTTTCGTCTAACTTATTGCTTGAAGAAAGGTTACTTAAATTCTAATTAATAGAAATTTTAGTTTCTAGTATGGTGCTACCCCTACTTGATAATCCTGGATCCGCCACTGGCCACATATATATATCAACCTTATAGAATTTCAGTTCTAAACTTGAAAGCCATGGCAATATGACATAGTAACATTAATTACAAATAAAATAACAAAAACAAAGAAATAACTCAGGATTCTATATTAAGAGATGTATCCATGCCTATTAAATTATCTTCCATGCACTCACATGCCTAGCTACTTCTCCACCCATTCCCAACTGTTACAATTCTTCTGTTGTGATGAAAGTCCTTAAGGAATACACTCTTCTTCTTATAATCTTGTTGATTCATATCATTACATTTTCATTTTGCCCATCAGTAGAATCTTGCAACGCTGTTGATGAAGAGGCGTTGCTCGAATTCAAGCGTGGAATAATAGGGGACCCTCAGTACCTAGATATATAGTTGGGTTCCTAAGACCAACTGTTGCGCGCACTGGGGAGGTGTAAGCTGTGATCCTGTCACCGGAAGGGTAGATACACTCTACGTATATAACCCTGTAGGTATACTCTCCCCTTACATTGGTAATCTTACGTACCTTAAAGTTCTTGGAATTTATAATGATGAGGGAGATAATGATGCGGGAGATGAAGGGTTATCTGGTTCCATACCTCCTGAACTAGGAAACCTCTCTAATTTAACTTATCTTAATCTTTACGACAATAGCCTTGAAGGTCCGTTACCCTCTTCATTAGGTAACCTCCATAAGCTACAACATCTCATCCTTCGCAATAACTACCTCTCCGGTGTCATACCCTGTAATATCTTTAGATCATTCAAGTCACTTTTAACTCTAGATCTGCAGTATAATAGATTCATTGGCCCATTACCTTCTTCCATTGCAAATCTGGTCTCACTTACCGACCTTGATCTTACCGGAAACTATTTCTCCGGTGAAATTCCAGTTGGTATTGGCAAGCTCAAGAACCTTACAAGATTAAATTTGCTCTATAATCAGTTTAACGGAAGCATACCTAAATCCATCTTTCAACTTCCGAGGGTGGAATTTGTAGATCTTTCCTATAACAATCTCAATGCTCCTCTACCAGAGTTTGTGGTAAGTAATGTCTCTAGCATGCAAGAATTACACCTTACATATAATGATATCATTGGAGTTATACCTGATTCTATAGGCCAACTTTCCAAGTTGAAACTTTTATAACAAACTTAGTGGCCCTATTCCTTGTTCCATAGGTGGACTCAAAAATGTGGATAACATAGGTTTGAGTTTCAATCAATTAAGTGGTGTTTTACCGGAATCTATAGGTCAACTTAAATCACTAGTGTATTTAGATTTGCCATCAACGATGGGCAATCTAAACCAACTACTAGAGATTAGTGCCTCAAATAATAGCATTGTAGGTCCAATACCTTGGAGTTTTTAAAATTATCTCATAATCAACTTGTTGGTCCACTACCTTCTGAACTTTCTAGACTACAAACATTAAGCACTCTCGATATATCCTACAATCCTACCCTTAAATTAGTGAATATACCACATTTGATCTCTGAGTTAAACATTGTATCTCTTTATTTAGCTGGGACAGGGATCAAAGGGCGACTTCCTGAATGGTTATCCTCTTGCTTGGGTATAAAAGATCTTGATTTGTCGAGTAATCAGATCAGTGGGACGTTACCTTCATGGATAGGAAATTTCAGCAGTTTGAGGTACCTTAACATATCCAATAATAAATTCTACTCAAAACTTCCAGTGGAGTTTAGTAATCTCTCCCAACTCTTAGACCTTGATCTTCATTCCAACAACTTCAATGGATCATTGGGAGTAATATTTTTTAGTCGAGAGGGGTACGAGTACTATAATTCCATTGATGTGTCTCGGAATAAGTTTACCGGTCCAATTCACAAAGATATAGGCTTTCTACTAGCTATGAAACCCATTACAATCTTACTGGAAGCATTCCGAAAGAGGTGTTGAATTTTGAAAACTTACAAAGGTTTGATGTCTCGAGAAATCTACTTAGTGGAAGCATTCCTCCACACAATGCAAGTATCCCTGCATCTGCATTTTCACATAATCCTGGACTATGTGCTCCTCCACTCCCTCCTTGTAAGCGTTTGTAATATGTGTACACACAGCTTCGTTCTTACCAAAATAATTATGGTTTAATCAGGCTACTTACCACACCTTGTATTATTAATTGTATTTACTCTTCCAATGAAAATATTGTATTACTATATATATGGTGATCTATTGATCTAATTGTGTTCTTGTCTGAGTAATTTTCACTAGGATGGAAAATCTTAGTAAAACAAAGTCTGATTATTAAGCTATCATAATGCTTAAAGATGCAGTCGGTAATAATTGCTATGAATATCGTATTATATACTTCCTTCGTTCTTTATTACAATATTTACTGCAGATGCTGAGGTTGTGTGGTGTCAGGAAGAACCAATGAACATGGGCGCTTACAGCTACATTGCACCTCGTTTATGTACTGCAATGAAATCTGTAAATAGAGGAACTGCTGATGACATTAAGTATGTTGGGCGCCTTCCATCTGCTGCAACTGCTACTGGTTTTATCTCAGTTCATAGCAAAGAACAGACCGAGCTCGTGCAGAAGGCATTGCAACCAGAGCCAATCCCATTCCCATGAGCCTCTGCTTGATTTTTTATATGATGGACCAAATTTGAGAAAAGAGAGAGCATATTTGGTCTCTCCAAATGTTTTGTGCAGTAAAATAATTCCAAAATCTATTCTTGATTTGATGAATTTTGATCCTTTTTACTACGTATTTCAAGAAATATACAAGGCCAATACGGAGTACTAATATTTTATAATAGGAAAATTTGTTAGTCCTTCGGCCCTGTATACAATTTTTTTTTTTTTGCAAAACACGTTCGCAGCAACTTATAAACGAGGGGGTATTTTTCTTGTTATGAAACGGAGGTAATTTTTATAATTTATATGAATAATAGTACTCTTAAAATTATTCGATGAGTAAAAGTACCCTTAATATAATTCAACTTTTTTTATAAGGAATAATTAAAAAAGGGAGTAACACATAAAACTAATGCCGTACATACCCTACTACTCCGATATCATCTCATAGCTATTGGAAAATCTAATTTATGACACGGCAAAAAACCATTACTTTAGCGGCTTTAGCCTTTAAGGAATTAAGGCTTTAAGTAACCAATTTCCAAAACTAGAATAACATTACCACCTGTAAAACAATTTCAAATACGTAGATTTTACATTAAAATAAAGTAAAAAGAACACAAAACAAAAGTAATTTACCATGAAGAATTAAATGACGTTTAATTTCTTCCATTTCTTAGGAATAAAATTAGAATTATAGTTTACCGACTTTCTATCATCTATATAAGTTTAGTCATACCATTCTCAACCACCTATATACAAGTTTTAATTTTTTTTTTTTTTTTTCATATAGTTTTTTATATTCTGTTTATGAACTAACTTTCCTAGTGGACAATTTGCCATAACTTATAATAATTTATAAGATATGAATATAATTAAAATAACAGATTTTGTTGAATAATTTTTTGGTATATAAGTTTTCTTCATTCTCCTCAAATTTCTTTTATTTAGCTCTTTTAACTCTTCTATTATGACTATGTTTCAATATTATCAATCCATATTGTTCCTCTTCATACACTTCTTAGGTAATAACTAACAACAACTTAATCATCAATTTTATTTGTCAAAGTAATTATTTCTTTTCTTATTATTGTATGTTTATAATGGGACACAAGTTTGTTTGTATGAAATGCAGGAATGAGTTTAGCAGCCAAGTTCACGTTTGTCAACCAATGCACCTACACCATATGGCCCGCCACGCTCACCGGCGCCGGCACCCCTGAACTCCCTGCTTCCGCTACCGGTTTTTCTCTTCTCCCTGGAGCCACCAATGTCCTTAATATCCCAGCGTCGTGGTCGGGCCGGATGTGGGCCCGCACCCTTTGCACCGCGAACTCAGCCGGTGGGAACTTTTCGTGTGCAACGGCCGATTGTGGGAGCGGGTCGGTGGAGTGCTCCGGGTCGGGTGCCCGCCCACCCGCCACCCTCGCCGAGTTTACTCTGAACGGGTCGGGTGGGATGGACTTTTATGATGTTAGCCTTGTAGACGGGTACAACCTACCCATGATGGTTCGGCCCGTGGGTGGGTCGGGTAATTGTTCGTCCACGGGCTGCATGGTGGACCTAAATGGGTCATGCCCAACAGAGCTCCAAGTTGTAACTAGCACATATGGGTCAAACGTTGAAGAGGTTGCATGTAAGAGTGCGTGTGAGGCATTTGGCGACGCACAATACTGTTGTAGCGGACCCAATGCAACGCCGGATACATGCAAGCCGAGCAAGTACTCAGAGTTCTTCAAGGCAGCTTGCCCAAGTGCTTATAGCTATGCATATGATGATGCGACTAGCACTTTTACTTGCAATGGTGCTGATTATGTCATCACATTTTGTCCTACTACAACTACCACGTAAGTTATTTTGATTTTTAAACAAAATTAAACCACCTTCATCAATTCATGCATACGTTAATTATTGTAGAAAATGATTGTAGGATATATATGATGAAAATCATAATTAATTATTTTTATTATACTCCTTACATCCCTAAAATTGTCCTTTTACAATATTTTCTTAAAAAAGGGTTAAAAGATAAAAACATTCAATAAAACTAAAACTACTGCAGAGTAACATTTATTATTCCACCATAGAAGTACAATATAACGAGTCAACGGATATAAGATTACAAACTTATAAGCAAATAAATAACTAATTAGCATAATAATGTACATACATTTGTATCATTGTATGAACATAATTATATGAGTATAATAATAAGTTGGTCAACATGGTAGATACATTATAATGGTACCATTATATAAATGATTTTCATACATCATGAAAACCGAGTTGAATACCACATCCTAACATTTTCTCACCATTTACATAAATATATATGATGATCAAAGTATCACACGTCAGATATCTGTTTCTTGTACTTGGCATCCAAATTATTTTTTAATTTTTTTTCCCAGCATGTAGCAATATTGCATGGACATGATTAGCTGTACTACTACGTATCAACCCCAACTAATTAATTAGCATAATTATTGGATCTATTCTAATCTAATATTAATATGTTTATTCTCTAACTAATTAATGATGAGCCTAACTATTAATCTCATATAGTCGTAAATCGTAATATACAATGTATACATTCTTGATCTCGGTTTGGAGTTGATAGTCACGTTAATAATGTAATCTGAATTAGTATACAGATTCTAAATTCGGAATAGGTGTTCAAGAAATTTTGAATTTGCTCACAATATCTTTATTTTTTTCTTTTTATAGTGGTAAATCAAGTGGGACCCAGTCACCAAATCCATCAGCAATCGCACCAGATTATTATCTCATGGACTCATCAAGCAACTATTTGATTCAATCATCAATTGTAGGACTACTAATAACAATGATTATTTGGCTGTCATTATATCAATAATTATGGGCCTATAAGTAAATGAACCTCAAATTAAGGTTGCAAAACTTGTCCAGAAAGCCCAATAAATTGATGGTTAGCATTTTTGATTGATTTATGTTATGGGCTTATGGTAATGGGATGAGGCCCAAAGTTTAGCTGCAAATTTAAAAGTAAACAATGTAACATAGATCGAATTAATTTGTGCTGTCAAAGAAAATTTTGAATATTGAAATCTTTTAATTATTCATTTTTGCTAGAAAAAACCCTTGAAATTAAGTTTTAGCATATCTTCACTTCCGCTGTGCACTCACCGACCCTAACAGCTTAAACTAGTATATATATTGTTTCAAAAAAAAATACAAACTAGTATATATATCACTAATATACATATATTGTGTAAAAATGTTAAAAATGCATATTTGAGCTTAAACTCGTACGAAGTATATCACTAAATATCACTAATATGGTGGAAATTTTATACTTCCTCCGTTTTTTTATTATTGCACCATAGGGGTTGGATGCAAATATTTTGATAGTGGAAAAAAGTAAGAGAGAGAAAGGTAAAAATACAAAATTGCCCATGTGACATATTGATAAACTAAAAAGTAAGTGTGAAAAAATAAGGGTATGTTGGGTAATTGTAGTGTGAACACAAATAATTTTTTTCCTAAAGAGGAAATGGTGCAATATTTGTGAAACTTCCTTAAAAGGCAAGTGGTGCAATAATAAAAGAACGGAGGAAGTATATGATAGACTTGCATATACAGTATTAAACTTTTGGTTAAAAGTCCAAAATAATCAAAAGAAAAGCATAGTTTTGATACGGATTAGAGCAATCTAATGACGAATCTAGTTAATTAGACACGACTAACAAGCTGAGGACTATTTTCAATTTTTTTTTTTGAAGGGATTCTTGTTTGGTTAATTATATATATTTTTTTCAATATTTTATACGACTATTTACACTGAAAAAATAACAAAAAACACATGTGCTATACATTATCATTTTATTCTTTTATTTTATTATTATTTTATACATTAAAGCGATCTAAATTCACAATCAACTTTATATTATTATCTCCTTCTTGCGAATTGCATGCTTGAAAGTAACTTATGATTTAATACCAATATAATTAGCACTTTATTCCACAAATTTAGGATCGTATACTAAAGGCCCGTTATATATATCTATCACTTCTCGTTGAATTTATTGGCATGTATGGTAGAATCTCCTATTATTATATACTTCAAATAATTAATTTCTATAAAATCAAAGTAGTGGACTACTATAAATGAGCACTCATACTCGATCTACATTATAAGATATATGAAGAATTATTTATAAATAAAGTGAAACAATGGATCCAACATCGAACTCTAGAATATTAATTAAAATGAATTATTTAATACATGGTCAGATAAATTCAGAATTATTTATTATCTGTCAAATATTGATAATCCTCTGCCATAATTTATCCTTATGTATTTAGGTTATTCCCATTCGCAAGTATTACATTATGAAATTATGGAATAATGTAATCCAAATACTATTTGGATCCGATAATCAAATATGGATCACATATCACTAGTTGATCTTAAGAAGATTAAATTTTTTTAAAATAATTGGTCAATGTTTACTCGCACAGGCAAAAAAAAGTGTTAACTGTATGGGTGTTGGAAGGCAAAGTATAAGGTGATATAGACTTAGCTTTTACAAGCAAGATACACGTAATAAAGAAGGTTACAACATGCAGTTTTCTAAAGCTTTTCACCCCTTCAATGTTGCGGTATTGACCTTAAACGGCAAGGTTCACCTTATCCTTAATTGCTACTTGAGTCATCTATCACTTTTTTTATCTTTAATTTTATTATACTACTCGATATTACTCCCTCTGTCCCAACTTACTTGTAACATTTTGACTGAACACGTTTGTCGTTGCTCATGTTTCACCGTTAATATCTTTTATTATATATTTATATAAGTTATAAAAAGTTTATATTAAGAAACTATACATTAAAATAGATCCAACAATGTCTTACATGATTACATTGACCTTCATATAATAGTTTATAAAGATGGTCAAAGGGAGATTTGTGAATAGTGCATAAAGTCAAACCATTGCTAATAATTTGAGACGGGGAGAGTAAGTACGTACGTAGTTACTAAAAATTTGGATAAATAGATTTATTGTTTGTCAACCAGGTCAAATATTTGCAACGGATGTTCGTACGTTATGGTAATTCCTCTTTTCAAAGTTTAATCTTGGTCAAAATTAAAGCAGATTTTATTGACTATTATAAGCCATCCTGTCGTTATTATTGCATATTGATTAATGGTGGCTAGCCATATCCATATGTAAATACCATACCGTACCTAATTGTATAGTCGTTGTTGGATAAGTCTTATGACCTTATTGATTTCAAATTTGCTTTTAATTAATAAAAAATTAATAGAATTAATGAGAACATGAATAATCTGAGAATGAAGTAAATATCGATATGTCAAATTACAAGATAGAATAATAATTTAACTTTTTAATTAATTTTATAGCGAGGTCAAACACACATATTGACATGTCTTGAAAGCATACATTTATGTAGTTTTCTTGACTTGATAGAGGATTTAGGTTTTTTGTTTGGGATTATATATGTGGTGGTAAACATGCACTATAACTCATACATTATTGCTTCTTGCTAGTGCTTTTGCATCACATTGTACCAAATAATTAAAATAATTGCCCAACCTAATTACATCAATTAGGAACAAAATCATCGTCTATTGGTCGTACGATAAAATGATTTGCATGGCCAACCTAATTAACTTCACCAACTTGTTCATAAACTTATGATAAACTAATTTGCATGGACATCCTTTAACTTCATCAACTTGTTAAATTAAAAACTTATTATAATTATCTGATTTGCATGGCCATCCTTTAAAGAGTTTAAACTAACTCATAATTATAAAATTAAATACAATGTATATAAATTAATCATACATGTTACGTACCAAATTGTATAAAATGATAAAAGACATCCAATAGTTTGAGTATAATCCAAAAATCAATTCATATATATAATCTACCTGAATTATCTTTAATTTGTTACTCTATATAAACTAGGCAACAAAATGTCGGCTAAAAGGTTATACCTGCTAATTAAAATTTAGTAGATTATTATCTAATTTGTCAAAAACCATATGCTTAGGTATAATTAATTTTCACATAAATCAACTAAATTGCATGGCAAAGCAAATTTAACCCACATGCATGCATGCAAATGGAAGACAAAAAAGTAAATCCACATGCTTAGCAATATCTTGATAAGGGCAAAAATTAAAGGCATTTTTATTACATGGACAAATATATACACCATCTTAGCTTAAAATATAAAGATATATTCATTTCCTCCTTAAAAATAATGAATATATATATTTTTTTTTATATAGGTATTTAATTTGCGGCTTACATTATACCAAAGTACCTCATCTGTTTATGTCATTGGTTGTCATTTTGACCTACTTCCAACTTATTAATACTACTACTTTTTTCTGTTGCCCTACTTTCTCATCGTCAGTTAGATTGAATCTATGCAACTACCACTTTTGGCCGTAGGAAAACAAAATCATTAAGAAACATATAGTAAATGACCTGGCCTTTCGATACATAATTTTGACCTTTGTAGTAAACAAAAGAAATGTTTTCGTATTCTAATAATTACTTATATTCCCTCGAGTGACTCAACAAGCTTACAAAAAATACAAAGATTGGCTATATACATAAATTTTTAGATGGATCATGGTCGTGCTACTAACTTAGCTGGATCCATTCATGCTTTATGGAACATTTATAAATATGTATTTGCAGGGTATATTTGGTTGATCCTAAATATATTCGTACTCTCCAACTTGAATGATTCGTACTCGTGTGTATATAACAAATTAAAGCTATACTGTATACACGCTAGATTATATTCAAAAGAATTAGGTTAATGTTTTAAACTCCAACTTGAATGATTTGTACTCGTGTATATAACAAATTAAAGCTATACTGTATACACGCTAGATTATATTCAAAAGAATTAGGTTAATGTTTTAAACTCCAACTTGAATGCTAGTGACGCAAGTCTTTTAATAAAGAGGGCTGAAGGCTTAAGAGAATGCAAGATAAGGGATGCAAAAAATGGCAAAAGGAAGAGAATGATGCTATGCTTACTACAAAGCATAAAAAGCTTTATTTACAAACAGGATCTTATCTACTCTCACTTTACACGCCATTTTAGACAACATCCTAGCTGGCTGCCTAGCTCCTTACAAAAAACATTGGTTGTTAAATTTCAATGGGGTCAAAGATAGTTTTATTTTGTGAAAAAAGTACAATTTTTTAGTCACCTTATTGATATGTAGTTTGAAATGTTTGATAAGGTGAAAGTTTAATGTATATATTTGTTAAAGTTTGACATCATTATTTGCCAAAATCATCATTATGAGATTGATTACTTAATGTTGGAAGGTTTAAGCCTTATTAACTTTGATCAATAATACGTAATAAAAGTGTATATTAAGCAATTGTTTATTTCATATGTAAATCTACACGTATATATATAGTACACATTGTAAAGTTAAAATATTATGACATTGTTTTATATGTTAACTAAATAAAGCACTTGTGCATTTGGGAAATAATCCAAAAATTTGATAAAAATGATTTAGAAATTAAATAGAATCTCTATAAATTTATTGGAAATAGATCGATTATCATAAAATCTCTACTTCTTTTAGTTGGACAAATAATTCGAGAAACGCCTTAATTCTTAAGAAATTGTGATCTTCAAAATGTACCATATCTTCATGCAGCCAAACGACAGAGCATGGATCAAAAATTAGAGCATACTAGTATAAATTTTGTTCATTATTGTTAATTGTTTGGCTAACTTGCATTGGTTTAGATGTTTATTGTATCAAATGTTTGTTATCGCATTATATTATGCTTGATCTTATGATTGGAGAACTCTTTAATTTAATTTATTACATTTTGCATTAGGGATCAAAAACTAATTGAAGTTCTAGTCACTAGAACAAAAATTATTATCCATATTAGGAAGATGAGCATTCAAGTTGTTATTATTAGTATTAAATTCCAATTGTTCCATTAAAAAGTAATAATGTGTTATCTTTATCAATAAGAATAAGAAAAAATGGGCAAAATCGAGCAATTTCTGGGAATGTAGCATGGTGCCCACAATATCACTTAAAAAGTACTTTTGTAATTTGCACAT